AATGACTTTCTTGTGGTTCCCCAGTAGAGTCCTCGGTTCCCTACCCAGGTCCTCAGCCCTGCATCCCTCCCACTGACCCAGCCCTGATCACTGTGGCTCTAGACAACCTTGCCCCATCACAGGACTCTAAGACGTCTCTAAGAGATCACAGGACTCTAAGACATGACACCCCAGAAGGCTTTTGGGCAACTGTGAGCAGCATGGACAGGTGTGGTCCTACTAAGTGCTGGGGTCTTGGGCAGCAGGGAGGGCATTTGCCTTGCACACAGCCAACCCAGGCTCGATCCCGGGCACCCCATAAGGTACCCCAAGCACTGCCAGGAGTGATCCCTGAGCAGAGAGCCAGCACTCGGCCCTGAGCATTGTGGCTGTGGCCCCGAAACCAACAAACAAAAAACCCAAAGTTCTACAGCTCCTTTCCCACAGAAGCCACTTGCTGTGCCCTCTGCCGGGACCTCCCACCCAGCTACCCACCCCCACGCGCTTTGTACCCTCCCCAACCAGAGCTGGAGCTGGAACCTGGCCGATCTCCTGATCACAAGGGAAACCGGAGGTACCCAGACTCTTGCTCCAGACCACAGGGCTGGAAATTGGTAGAAAAATCAGATGGGTCTATCTGAGTCTCTCCTGCGACCAGCCAAGGCTGCCTCCTTCTGGCAGTCCTCCTAGATTCCTCACGCATGTCCACCATCCACACCCTGACAACCAGGTTTCATTTCTCACTCATTCTTCCCTATGTCTCACATACCAGGCTGGGAAGGGGGGGGGGCAGACAGAAGGAGTTTAGGAGTGATGTGTAGCTGTTTTGCCCACCCAACTTTGTATGAGGGTTGGGTACACAGCAGAGGCTCAATAAAAGCTAGCTCCAGGGCCCGTGGCATGAGAACCCAAGGCCCCTAACCCCACAGGACAGCCAGCTACTGCACGCCTCCAGGAACCCCAGCTCCAAGGCATATTTGAGGCGGGGGCGGGGGAGGGGGTGTTATCACGGCCTCAGGGAGAAAGGTGGCATAGGGGAAACCAAGGCAGAGCAAGAGTGTGGCAGGGCATAGCCTGGTCTTAGGCTCCGCCCCTCCCGCTGCCCAGCAGAGATGCTGGCGCTGCCATGGAGACAGCAGGCCCCGCCCACAACATACCCTGGTCCAAATTGGCCCCGCCCACAGCCCCGCCCTACCCTCTCCCTCCCGGGCTACTGTCATTACAGGGCACATGTGGGCATGGGTGAGGCAGACAGGAGGGTGCCCCCACCTCAGCCCCCCACTTTCTGTCTGGCACCCAGGCTGGAGGGACCCCTTTCTTCTTGAGGGGTGCCTGTCCTGGGAGGAAGGAGGCATTCCTGCGAGCGCCCTTACCAGAGGCAGGTCTGTGTGTGTGTAGGTGTGTGAACAAACGTGCACACGTGTGTTGTGTGTACGTGTGTACGCACACATCTGTGTTTTGTGTGGATATATGCTTACATTGTGTGTATGCATGTGTGTGCACTGTATGTGTGGATATTATGTGTACGCACAAGTATGGGTGTATGTACACATGTATGTGTGCACATGACATGTACGTGTGTGCATTCTGTGTACATGTGTATGGCATGCGCTACATGTATGCAGGTGGATGTGAATGTGTGTACTGTGTGTGTCTGAATATACACCCATGTGAATGGGTGCATGGGTGCATGTGTGTATATTTTAAGTACGTGTGTGCATACGTGTGTGAATGTGAATGTATGTGCATAACATACACTTACGCACGCATGTGTATACTAGTGTTCACGATACGTGAATGTGTGAATGCGCCTGCGTGTCTGAATGTCCATGTGTGTATGTGAGTCAATGTGGTGCTGAGTGGGGAGGCTTCCTGTCCCCTCTTCCGTTCCCTCCCTCCCTCCCCTACCCTCCAGTCCCCATATCTCTTTTAGAACAAAGCAAAGTGGACCTGAAGTCACCTGACCACCCCCCCCATTCTCCAAAGCAGGGGTGCAGCCACGACCCCTCCTCTGGCCCACAGTGGAGGGCCCCCCATGGCACCCTGCTCTGTCAAAGGTCATGGCCCCCTCCTGCGTCCATTTTCTGGGGGTGGCCATCCCTGCGCAGGACCGTGACTGTGACCGTGGCCATCGCTGGGCATTTCTGCTAAGCCATGCCGTCAGGCTGGGGCGGGCACTAGAATCTGACCTGGCCTCGGTTTCCCTTCTTTGTGCGGTGTGAGGTTTAGGAGGGGCCCTGGGGTGAGGCTCCCACAGGCCTGGAGTATGGGGTGGGGTGCACCCCCAGTCCTGGGGACCCACATCTGGGGCCCTGAAGGCCAGGGAGGGGTCATGCTCCTCACCCTGCACCCTGACAGAGAAACCAAAAGGGCTCAAGGGTCTGGGCCAGGACACCCCATCTCACACCCAAGGAACCCCAACTTCTCATGCACCCCCACTTCTCCTGGCTGAAGCCACAATGCTACACCCCGTGGCAGTCTCAGCGACATCCCTGGCTCACTCCCCAGGGCCTCCCCCAAAAGCCAGGAGGGGCTTGGGGAGATTTTTGTGTCTGTTTATTTTGGGGATCACACCTGTCTGTGTTCAAGGATCACTCCTGGGGGGGCTTGGGGGACCCTAGGAAATGCTGGGGATCGAATCTGGGTCAGCCACGTGCAAGACAAACGCCCTCCCCGCTGTGCTCTCACCCTGGCCCCAGGACCATTACCCCCGACCCAAGAATGTTTGAGGGTGGCTGGAAAGAAAGCCCCCAGCCTTGCCCCCCTCTAGGCCCTGCACCCCAGTACAGACAAACCTAGAAAGGGGGTACAACATCACCCCACTTCCAAAATCCCACTTGCCCAAGCAAGATCAGAAACGAGGACAGACTCCCCCCACCCTAACATTCTCCAGCCACATTCCAGGCCTCCTGTTCTGCCACCAGCAGAGAAACTGAGGCACAGTTTGCTGGGGCCAGGGATGCGGAGCCTGGGAAGGGGGATCCCATGGGGGTTCAGCCATAAGAAAGGGGGGAAAGGCACTTCCTAAATCATAGCTCACCTTCCTCTCCCCGTGGTGTTCGGGGGGGGGTCATGGACAGACAGACCCTCCCCACTCCAATCAGCGTCTTTCTCAAAAACGCAGCTCTCAGGCCTGCTGGGGGGGGGGGGCTCTGCGGAAAGGGCTTCCCCAGAGCTGCAGACCCCTGAACTCTCTCTGGGGACCAGGGGACCCCTCAGCCGCAGGGAGGAATATTCTAGGCCTCCCACCCCTTTCTGAGCAGTGGTTGGGTGTCAGTGCAGAGGGGGTGGGGATTTCTCCCCCTCAGGGCTGGGGGTGGGGGGCTTCCCCCCTCCACGCAGTCACTCATTCATCCATTCCCTTCTTCACTCACTCATCCCTTTCAGCCCTCCCTTCCTTTATTCCCTTCATTCTCCCTTTCACTCATTCGCCACATCATTTCCTTCCCTCCTGGATTCCTTCCTTCCTTCCTTCCTTCCTTCCTTCCCTCCCTCCCTCCCTCCCTCCTGCCTTTCTTCCTTCATTCCCTCCCTCCTTTCTTCACTCATTCATTCCCTTCTTCCTCCACCACCTCCTTCCTTCCCTCCTTCCTTTGCTCCTTCCCCCTCCTTCTTCCTCCCTTCCTTCCCAAACCCCCCCCACACATGCATGCATGCATGCGTGTGCTTTGGGATCCCTGCCACCCCAGAGAGGAGGAGGAGGGACAGGTGGGGTCTGAAGTAGGTCACCGGCCTGGGGGTACCCAGCAGAACGCGTTCTCCACCCACCCACCCCAGCCCACAGGGAGCCACCGGGCTCCTACCATGAACACCCTCTCCAGCACACCATAGGAGAAAAATCAGGCGTGGGGGACACGGTCAGGCCTCCCAGCCCGCCTGCCTCCCCCTGCCAAGCCCCCCCAACCCCCGTTCACCTGGCGCCCTGTCTGTCCATCCCCAAATTCAGCTCTCCCAGATGGACACCGGAGGTCCCTGCCTGTTCTGACCTCGGCGCGCTCTGGCCGCCTCTGGCCAGCTTGAACTTGGGCGGAGAGAGGGGGGACTGCTGCAGGCCTGGGGAGGGGGGAGCGGCCCCCTCGCCCTATCGCCTCAGCACCCCCTTCGCACCCCCCCCCCCGCTGGGCTCAGCTGCCTGCACCCCCCACCCAGTCACCCAGCCAGCCGTGCTTTCTTTGTAGTTACCGATCAGCCCGGGGTCGAGAACATCGGAGCTCCGCGCTGCCGCGCGGGGCTGGCTGGCCGGCCCGGACCTGCCCCCGGCCTGGCTTTGTGAAAATGACCAAAGCAAAACTTCCCCGACGACGACGACGACGACGACGACGATGACGACGACGACGACGGGGCTGGGGGGCGGCCTCCGGGCAGCTGGACAGCCCCCCCAAAAATAAAAGAAAACAGGCAGGGAAGAGTGGGGGAGGGCGGCGGGAAGAGGGGGGATCTGGGGGGAACGGGAGGGAGAAGGGGGAGAGGATGGGAGGCGGGGAAGATTGGAGAGAGGGAGAGAGAGGGTGGGAGGGAAAATGGAGAGAGGGATGGAGAGGGGGAGAGGGAGATGGAAAAATGGAGAGTGGTGAAGAGATGGGGATGGAGAGATGGAGGGATGGAGAGAAGAAAGGGGGAGAGGGGGAGAGGGAGACAGAAGGAGCCGGGGAGAGGAAGGAAGAGGGGAGAGAGATGGACAGCGGGGAGGGAGAGAGGCAGGGGAGAGGGAGAGGGAGAGGAGAGAGGCAGAGAGCGGGGCCGGGAGGGCTGGGGAGAGAGGAGAGACGGAGCGCCGGCGGCGGGGCGGGGGAGCCGGAGCGCGGAGAGGGCAGGGGGACCACGGAGGATGCAGGGGTGGGTGGGGGAGCCGGAGCGCGGAGGGGCCGAGCGGGGAGCGCCGGCCGCGGGAGGGAGGGAGCGGGGCGAGCGCGAGGCGCGCGGGTGCCGCGCCGGAAGGTGGGCGGAGGCGCGGGGGCGGCGGCGGCGGCGGCGGGGAGGGGGCGCGCGGCGGTGTCAGCGGCGGCCCGGGGGGCGCCCACCTTTGTGCAGGCCCGTGTAGGGGTCCTTGAGCACCGTGAGCTCGTAGATGCGCCCGAACTGCTCGAAGAGCGGCTTCAGGTCCTTCTCGTCCAGGTTGCGGGGGATCTGGCCCACGAAGAGCTTGATAGCGTCCAGGTCCTTGGCGCCGTCCGGCTGCGGCCCGGGGGGCTCGGGGCCCACCGGCGAGGGCCGCTGCTGCCGGCGCGCCTCGCTCTCGGTCAGGCGGGCCATGGCGGCGGCGCGGCCGAGGGCGGCGGGCGGACTCGCAGCTGGAGCGGCCGGCGCGCCCCCGCCCGCCCGCCCGCCTGCCCGCCCCCGCCGCCGCCGCCGCCGCCGCCGCCGCCGCCGCCGCCCGCGAGCCACAAAGGCCGCCCCGCAGCGGCCCCTGGCGGCCGGGCCGCGCCTCGCCGCGCCGCGCCGCGCCGCGCCCGCACCCCCGCACCCAGCCCCGAGCCCCGCGCCCGCGCCCCCGCCCCCGACCTGCACGCGGGCGTCGCACCCCGCGCCCCGCACCCACGCTCTGCATCCCGCACCCAGGCACCGCAACCCCACCCAGACATCGCATCCCGCGCCCGACCCCACGCCCCGCACCAAGGTATCGCATCCCGCCCCGCGCCCCGCACCCTGCACCCACGCTCCGCATCCACGCACTGTATTCCGCACTGACACCGCACCCCGCACCCAGACATCGAATCCTGCACACGGTGCCCGGCCCTGCGCCCCTCGCCCAGCACACAGACATCGCATTCCGCACCCCGCGCCTGACCCCGCGCCCCACACCCACGCACTGCACCCCGCACCAAGGCACCGCACCCCACACTCAGACATCGCATCCCGTCCCGCGCCCCGCACCCTGCACCCACGGCCCGCACCCACGCACCGCAACCCCACCCAGACATCACATCCCGCACCCAGCACCCAACCCGGCGCCCCGCGCCCCGCACCCATGCACTGCACCCGGCGCGCAGGCACCGCACCCCACACTCAGATATCGTATCCCGCATTAGGCCCCGCGCCCCGTGCCCAAGCCCCAGCCTCGCACTCAGACGTCGCATCCCGCACGGCATCCCGCACCCCGCACCCAGGCACCGAACCTTGCACCCAGACATCGCGTTCCGCCGCACCAGGCCCCACAGCCCGCGCCCTGTATCTGCACCCCGCGCCCCATCCCGCACCCGGGCACCGCATTCCGCGCCCCGCACCCACGCACTGCGTCCCGCACCGGGCCTCGCACCCCGCGCCCAAGCCGGACACCCAGACATCCCATCCTGCACCCCGCGCCCGACCTCTTACTCCGCACCTAGGCTCAGCACCCGATACCCCTCAGTCACATCCCGCACAGTGCCGCACATCCTGCACCCAGGCACCGCACCCCGCACCCAGACCATCGCATCCCGCACCAGGCCGCCCCCCTGTACCCCGCTCCCAGGTACCACACCCCACACGAATCTCGCACCCACGCACTGCACCCCACACCGCTGGAGAGAGTTCAGTGGGGGAGGGCACTTGCCTCACATGCTGCTGACTCGGGGTTGATTCCAGCACCCCAATTGGATCCCCTGAGCCCCGCCAGGAGTGATCCCTCAGTGCAGAGCCAGGAGTCAGCCCTGTGCTGGGTGTAGCCAGCCCCCCCCCCAAAAAAAAAGAGAAAGGGGGCTGGGGAGCACAGCGTTGAGGCCCTTGTTTTTTTTTTTTTTTTGCGTCACACCCAGCGATGCTTAGGGGTTTCTCCTGGCTCATGCACTCAGGAATAGCTCCTGGCGGTGCTCAGGGGACCATATGGGGTGCTGGGAATCGAGCCTATGTTGGTCATGTTGGCTGCGTGCAAGACAACGCCCTACCCACTGTGCTATCGCTCCAGCTCTGAGGCCCTTGTCTTGCATGCAGTTGACTCTGGCTCCACAGGGTCCCCTGAGGAACAGCCTGGAGGCCCCCAGCACCAATGCGGTGGCCCAGGTCCCCCACCCCCCACAGCACCCCACCCTTGGGAGGCCCCGACCCCAGGAAAAAATAAAAGGAAAAGAGAGAAATAAAATAGGGCTGGAGAGTGGCTCCCAGAGCCGAGAGTGGACACAGCCAGTCCCCACAGTCCCTGATCCCCAACAGCGTGGCCCGGAGCTGGCCAGGTATAGCCCTCCAAATCCAGTTAAATGCTCAAATGCCAGTGTGGGGGGGCACCGGGGTGGGGGTGGGGGCTTGGGGAAGTGTCCATCGCTGAGTGGAGCAGCTGATCAGAGAGCCAGTCAGAGCCCAAAGCCAAGGGGCCAGAAACTTAGGGTCTCCCCAATCCGGGGGGGTACCCCATGAGTTGGTGGAGGGAGTATGTTGCAGGCAGCGAGAACCACAGGGGTGGGGTGCAGGGTGCCCCCAGTGCTGCCTGATCGACATAAAGGTGCTCTGGGCTGTGACCCTAGGGAGGACGCTTGACTTCTCTGGGCTTCAGCAGCCTTCCGGGGAACCCCACGCAGGGTATGGAGAGCGATGCTGAGTGCCAAGTGAGGCTCTGATGAAACTGCGCATGTGCTGGGGTGAGGGGGCCCCAGCAGAGACCCCGAGAACCGAGCGGCTGCTGACTCCGCAGGTCCCTGTGCCCTTCATTCTCTGGCCATCCCCTTCCCAGCCTGGACCCCTGCAGCGGTCACCCAGTCTGGCACCCTGGCTCTCCAAGGCACTGCGTGCTTGCTCCCCCCAAGCCCCCAGCCCCTCCCCACACCCAAGTCTGCCGCCAGTGTCTGTGTGGCCTGTCCTCCGCATCCCCAAAACCTGCTTTGACCTGGCCCGTAAGCTGGGGAACCCCTGGAAACCCACAATTCTGGACAGCAGTTATGGGGATCCCAGAACCCACTCCGGGAGCGAGCACACACAGGGGTGCTGGGGGCACCTTCTGCAGGGGACAGTCCTGTCTGGTCAGTGCTGCCCTCCCTGGGCGGAATCTCAGGGATCCAGGACACAGGGCTCTTGTTCTCTCTCACACACAGACGCAGGTCACTGGTTATGGCTTTATTTACTCATCGTCCGCCGCCCTGCATGCCCGGAGATGGACCAGCCCCGAAGCTCCGGTAGGGGCCCCGAGCCTGAACTCCCAGGGTGGCTGGCACCCAGCAAACAGTCTCTGGGGGAGCCGGGGAGAGAGCAAGAGGGAAGAGGCCGGTAGCAAGAGTCTGGGGGCCAGTAGGGCCCCCCCACGTGGAGCTCATGGGCGGGGATGGCTCAGCAAAGGCAGTGGGGGGCAGGGGGGGGGTAGGGCCAGACTCTACCGGTTTGCGGCTCTGGGGTGGAGGCGGGGACAGCAGTGAGCGGGTTTGTCCTGGCAGCCCCCCCTTTCCCACCCCCTCAGCACTCCGCTGCTTCTATTGCTCATTAATGACACGCAAGGTCTCCCTGAGGTCAGTCCTGCCCTGTGACCCCCCGACCACACCAGGGAACTGAGACTGGGATGCTTGTGCGAGAAGCTTTGCAGAGGGGCTGCCTGAGCCCTGGGTGGCGGTGAAGGGCTCCAAGGAGCCAGAGGGATGCCCTGGGGAGTAGAGGTAAAAGGGCTGAGCTCAGGGTGCCAACATCCAGGGGTTCCGGGGGGGGGCCACTGAGGGGCTCCGTGGTCTTAGGTGCATGGGGGAGGATAGGGGCTTTGGACAGAGGAGCTGGGGCCTCAGGGAGTGGCCCCCGCAGGGCAGCTGGGGTAAGGGGGCCCCAAGCTCCAGATGTCCTAGGATGGGGGACAAGGGATCTAGCCTTCCGCGTGCAGAGCACCCGGTGAGCTATCCCGAGGCCCCTCACAGGGCTTATTTCCAAGTCCGAGTCTGGCCCCAGGGGCCCCCAGCCAAAGCTTCGCATCCTCAGTGGCTGCATTTCCAAAAGCCAGGCAGGAAGAGGCCCCGGATCCTGGGGGGCACAGAAGCCTTGGGACTCGACGCGCCCACGTCTCGCTCACTGTGTCTTGGCCTTCAGGAGCAGCCTCTGTACTGTCTTATACAGGAGATGGAAGTGCTGGGGGGCGAGGGGGAAGCAAAGGCACAGGTGAGGCGGGGAGGACAGGCAGAAGAGAGCAGCTAGGTGGGGCAGGGCCACAGGGTGGGGCGGGGCCATAGGGCGGGGCGAAACCACATGGTGGGGCAGGGCCACAAGTTGCCAAGAACAGCAGGGGCGGGGCTGCAGGATGGGGCATGGAATGGGGGCGGGGCCACATCAAAAAGAGAGGAAGGGGGCGGTGCCATAGGGTGGGCGGTGGGAGGGTGCCAGTGAGGCCGAGTAGGGCAAGCCCACCTGTACTGCGGTGTAAGCCATGCCCAGGTAGGCTCCGATGCACACCGCCAGCAGCAAGTCAAAGATGGCCGGCTTGACCCTGGGGATCAGAAGAGGGTCACAGTGGGGGTCAGGGGCGCTGGGGGCTGCCAAAGCAATCCCCCCATCCGCCCCTACAGCAGAATCCACGTTGGGGGTTGGCGCACCTGTAGGCGTTCATCACCTGCTTCAGCTGATCGTAGAAGACAAACTCGGGATCCCTAGGGAGAAGCGTTCTCTTGGGGGCCAGCTGGGCAGCAGACTGGCCGGGGCAGGGCGGGAACCCCCAGACACGGGGACGGAGACTGCCTCTGTCCCCTCCAGGGAAGCCCCATCCTTGGGCACGAGACTTCAGGCTCCTCCCAGGCCCCGCCCCACAGCTGATCTGCCCAGCACCCACGGGTGGTCATGACAAGGAGTGTGTTTGTAGTGGGGGAGGCCTGTGGGCAGGGCTGGTAGGGCCTGGGCCCTGACAGTGCTCAGGGCACAGGTGCCCGCTGGAACTGGGCTTTTGCTCCTACCCAGCGCCCGCACCTTCTAGGGGCACCGAGCTGGGGGAGCGTGAGTGCGCATGCGCGAGGCCCAGGGGCCCGGGGGCGGGGCTGGGCGCTCACCGCTTGTCCGCCTTGATGTGGTGCTGCCGGACCTCCTTGAGGTAGCGGCCCAGGTGGTGCTCCAGGGTGCTCAGGAACGTGCTGTCCTTGTCCACCAGCTGTGCTGCCCGCGGCTGCTGTGTCAGCCAGTCCATCACCGAGTCCAGCTGCTCCTGTTGTACCTGCCACACGGCCATCAGTGTGGGAGCCTGTGCTGGGAACCCGGCACCCCGCCCCACTCCGTGACCCCCCCTCCTGGGACTCCCCTTACCATCTGCTCTGTGAAGACCGGCATGTCTGGGGGTGTCCCCTGCAGAGAGAAGACACCAGCCCCTGAGCAGGCGCTGTGGGGGCTAAGAACCCCCGCGGCCGCCTCCCAGTCCGCAGGCCGCGTTAGCCCCACCTTCTCAGTGAGGTTGTAGATGACCCGGGTGAGGGCCTCGGCAATGAGCCGCGTGTTGCGGGTTAGGATCTTCGAATCCACCCGGGACCTGGGAGGGAAAGACGCAGGACAGAGGACGTGAGCGCGCCCCCAGAATGGCAGGTGGCATCTCTCCACCTCCCCGGGGTTCCTCCTGGTGTTAGGGGAAGTGCGGGGCTGGAGGGGGCAGGGGGACAGGGGGATGGGGTTCCATGGCAACACACCTGCCATGCAAAGCGCGAGGCTTCGGGCAGGATCCCCAGCACCGCCCTACGTGCCATGCCCCGACCAGAGGGTGATGCCCCATTGTGGTCCGGCTCATCAAGCAAGGAGGCGTCTAGGGGACACGGTTCAGGCCTGAGCCTGGCAGGGACGGGGTCTCGGTGGAGTGTGGGGCCCAGGGACGGTCACTGTTGTCCAGGGCGGAGCTCCGCGGCAGCAGGGACGGGGCGCTCACCGCACGTCCATGATGCTGCTGCGCTGGCCGTCGCGGTGGCTCTCCAGGTGGGACAGCGTGAAGGCCGGCAGCCGGCGAATGGCAAAGCGCTCGTGCTCCCAGGCCAGCATGTCCTCGGCCAAGTTGATCTTCTTGTGCACCATGGAGAAGCGTACCTCGGGGAACTGGTGGGCAGCCACCTGCATATGCGCGCAAGGCAAGGGGTCAGCCTTCCCCTGAAGGGGCCCTGCCCCTCTATGGAGGAGGGCTGTGTGAACCGTCCCCTCCTCCAGTTGGCACGCATGGATAGCCCCGCCCCATGGGTTCACTCCTCCAATTAGGATGCACCCATAGCCCCGCCCAGCGCCTGCTCTACAGTTAGGATGCATCTACAGCCACGCCCACCACCTGCTCCTCCAATTAGGATGCAGAGCCCTGCCCCAAGCCCCGCCCACCTCCTCCTCCAGTTAGGCTGCACCCATAGCCCCGCCTACCCCACAGGGTCCCCTCCCTCCAGGGGAACCAGGCACAGCAACATTCCCAGCCCTCCGGAACTCTGGGGGGGAGCATAATTATGGGGCTCCACTGGCCCTAGAGGTGCCTGAAGTGCCCTGCTAATAAGAGGGACCCCCCTGACCCCCCGTTCCAGGTGCAGAGATGGCTCACAATCTGGAGGCCCTGTGGGCACCCCAGTGGGCCCGGGGTGGCTCTTGGGGGACGGGGTGTGTGCTAATCACCTGCTCCAGCTCCCGCAGGAAGGCATGCTGCAGCGTACCCTCCCGCGGCGGCTTGGACACGTGCAGGTGCAGACCGTCCCCGCGGCCCAGGGTGTCCAAGCAGAGGACAAAGGCCACGTTGTCCTGGAGTAGGCTGGAATCTGCGGGGTGGGGAGAGTGAGGCGGGGCAGGGCGAGAGCGGGACCCGGGACCCCCACCGGCTGCGGGGCTCACCCGTGTGGTCCAGGTTATCCTCCAACCAGCGCTTGGTGCCCTGGTAGTTAAACTTGCCCCCTCCGGACGCGAAGAACAAGAGGTTGTACCTGGCGCGGGAGGGATGGGACACTTGGGCAGGTGAGTCGGGGTGCCCCCTCCCCCCTGCAGGCTGTCCCGGGGCGGGGAGGGGGGCGCCTTACGCGGCGTGCGTGCGCTTGTAGGTGTAGAGGCGCGAGAAGAGCCGCGCCAGCTCCAGCAACACCGACATGCCGCTCCCGTTGGAATCGGCGCCCAGTGACAGCCACTGTGGGGAGGCCGGGACCAGCGTCACCCTCCCGCCCAGGGCCCTCAGACCCCGGGAGGGTGGCGCCCGGGCTGGCATGCTGGGGGGCAGGGCGGAGCAGGCAGAGCCCCTGGGGGCGTGTGTGCGCGTTGGGGGGGGGGGGAATCTGTGGGGGAGGCTCCCTCCTGAGTGCTCCCCGAGCATGAAAGTTCCGCTGACTTGTCTGGGCCCCACTGGTATGGCTGGTACGAGGTGGGGGAGGCAACACAGAAATCTGGGGGAGAGGCAGGGTCCCCTCCCCCAGAGGAAAACCAGAAGGACCCTAGAGCCGGCTCCCAGGGGTGAGAAACATTCAGAACAGCACCCCCACCCCCTGCCAAGAGTGGGCTGAAACGGCCACCCCCTACGACCCCCACAGATAGGGCACGGTCATGCTGAGGCAGCCTGGACCTGTGCCTAGGGTCTCCCCTAAACCCACACCTGCACCCCCCTCCAGTGTGGTCATGTGGTCAAGGAAGGGCTCTCCTCCAAGCATCTGCCCGGCCCCTTGGACCTGCCCTCACAGTCCCCCTCCACTTTGGTTCATTTTCTATCTCATCTGCCAAGTTCTGGTTCCCTGGAAGTGTCCAAGGGAACCCCAATAAAAACACCGGATCAGAGAGGTGTGGGACTCAGACTTCAGTCCAGCATCAGGGACACCAACCAAGGTCCTTGTACCACCCCCTTAGGGCCCCGGGACAGGTGCTGTCCCTCTCTGCCACCTGTCTGTAAACTGGGTGAGTGCAGTGATCAGGGGCCCCCCAGATACGTACAGGAGCCACCCCAAAGGCATCATAGTGGGCCACGATGACGATGGTGGGAAGGTCCTCTCCGCCCAGCCCCGTCAGCCGGCCCTGGGGAGAGACGGGCACGATGGCCCGACGTGAGGGCCATGTGCCAATAAAGCTTTATTCAGAGAACAAGCAGGGGGCCACATCCTGCTGGGTTTCCACCTCTGGGCAAGGGCTCCAAAGCACGAGGGACCCAGCGGCTCTGCAACTTTCTGGGTGCAGACAGCAGGACCAGTATAGCCTCTGGCCAGTGCGGGTGGTGGGGCAGGGGGAGAGTGTAGGGAGGAAGTAGGGGGCCCTCCCCAGGCAGGCCCATCACCCCCCACCTGCAGGGTCCCCACTCCTGCCCTGGGAGGCAGTGCCAGACCAGAAAGCCTGGAAGAGAGGGAGGGTTTGGGGCACAGGAGAGGATGCAGGGAGCGCAGGAGGGGTTCACCCACCTCCACGCTGGTGATCAGCCAGTCGCTCACGGCCTTACTCTGGACGCCGCTGCTGACCATCTGGAAACCATTGGCAGTGGCAGTGTGCAGCAGTACTGGGGGGTGGAGAGGGGAGTCAGCACCCCAAACCGCCACAGCGGGGGGGTGGGGTGGGGGGGGGCGGGACACGCTCAGGACCTCCATGACCTGGGCTCCAGGACTCGGTCTGCAGCCCTGAGGGTGGGGGGTGGCGGCCTGCAAGCCAAGTGTGCTGTCCCCCCCCCACACTGCACCTCACGGCCAGGGCCCGGCTCCTACTGCCAGGAAGCGCAGTTGGGGTCACCGGCTTCACCAGGTCGCCCTGAGTTCTGCAGGGGCTACAGAACTGCACCCCAGGATCTCACTCGCGGTGCATGGAAGGAAGGAAGGAACCCCGAGTTGCCTCCAAACTGTGATCCAGTCTTTTGGTTTAGTTGAAAATAAACCAGGGGGTGGAGGAGCTGGTGCTGTAGCACAGAGGGGTGGGTGCTTGCCTTGCATACAGGTGACCCGGGTTGGAGCCCCAGAAACCCAGAGGGTCCCCCTGAACACCACCGGGGATCAGCCCTGAGCACAGAGTCAGGAGTCAGCCAGGAGCACTGCTGGGCGTACCCCTCCAAAAGTCAGGAGCCCCACCCCACGATCTGTAGCCAGTGGAGTCCAGGGCTTCACAAGGATCCAAGGACGAGGGGCTGCTCGAGGGGGGGCCACTAGCCCCCACAGTCTGGGGCTTTCCTGAACTACACTAGCAGTGCTCCAACACTGGGCTGGAATCCGGTGCCGCCTGACCCCAGCTGGGCTCCCTGTTCGGCAGGAGGTGCTCATTCAGGGAACGAAGTGCCCAGTAAGGGCCAGGCAGGCCACACCAGGAGAGGCCCTGAGGGAGGGAAAGGGACCCAGCCAGTTTCCCTATTTCTTACACTCTCGGTGGACCCCAGCTCTGCCCCCGCACTGCTGGAGCAGACCACGCATCGCATCTAGGTGGGGGGGCGGACACCCCACCTTCAGCGGCCGAGGCGGAGCCCTGCGAGGCAGAGGCGGCCTGCGTCTGCTCGTAGATGGACAGCAGGGCGTCGTCCTCCACCGCGAAGTACACGGGCACCAGGGTCTCCATGGCCAGCATCTCAGGCTCGATCTCCATGAATTGCTGCGCAGGGACAAAGGGAGGGGGGCGCTCAGGCCGGCGTGGGTCCGGGGGAGGGGACACCCCTGCCCCTCGCACGTCCCAGGTCCTGTCTCCCCTCCCTCAGCCCAGCCCTGGGGGAGGGGGCAAAACGGGGAGGGGAGAAAGGGGAGGGAAGCCCGGGGAGGGGCAAGGACCCAGGGGGCAGGGACAAGGGGTTGGGGTGGTGGAGGGGCAGGAACCCTGGATCCCTGGGGGTGGGGGACGCGGGGACCCCTGAGACCCAGGGAGGGCTGCTAGGGAGCCCCCACCCCCCGGCGCGGGCGCTCACGCGGATCACGTCCTGGGGCACGGCGGCCATGGCGCGCGGCAGGATGATGACCACGGCCCCGGCCGACTGGCGCAGCGCGCGCTGGTAGCGCTCGTAGGAGAAGTCGAGCAGCCGCATGAGCACGCAGCGCCGGCTCAGCACGTCCGCGTCCACCGTGCGCGCCTCCGTGTTCAGCACGGCGTTCCGGGTGCCTGCGGAGGGGGCCGGGCGGGGGGAGGGCGCTCAGGCTGGGGGGGTAGGGAGAGGGGACACCCCTGGCCCGCCCCCGCGGAGATCTCGGATCCTGGTCCTGCGGGTGCCGCCCCCCCCCCCCAGGACGACCCCAGCCTGCCCAGGAAGGATGAGCAGAGCCGGCCCCCTGGGCTCAGTCTCCCCCCCCACCCCTCCCCTTCACCATCAGGGTGACCTTGCGGTTCTATGGCTCCGCCCCGACCCCCTGCAAGAGGCAGTGGAGGGAGGAGGGGGGAAGAAGGGCCAGTCCCACACCCAGCACCCAGCACCTGCCCCCCCCACACCTGTTGCTCAACCACCAGGGAGCACCGGAAGTTGGGAAAGGGGAGCCCCAGGGGCGGGGAGCCGGGTGTGGTCAGGGAGAGGAGAGGCCCAAGGGCAGGGCCATGGGGCCCGCAGCACGCCCAGCCCTGCCACCCCCGCCTGGCATGGCTCCCCACGGGGTGGGGTGGGGAGGGGGGCGCCACGGGGCTCCCGTCCCTAGGGTCTGGAGAGCTTGTCAGGTCAGATAGCAGGAGAGGAAGGGGAGGGGGCACAAATCTCGGTATCGGACAGGCGCCTGGAGGAGGGCTGGGGGCACCCAGTCTGCCAGGATGGACCCCGGTGTCCCTACCCCCCACCACACCGGCACTCCTAGCTCTCGCAGGGGAGGCTGCCCCCCCACCCCCCGCCCCAGGAAACGAGGCGGTGACCCAGAATTGCGCCGAGCTGCTCTCCAGGGCCTCCTCTGGGGTAGGGGGAAAGGAAAGCTCTAGAAAAATCTGGAGCAGCGCCGCTGCCCTCCTCTGACCCCAGGGTGAGGTGCTGAGAGTGAGGGGACGCTGGCCCTGCCCTCCCACCCAGCTGACCTGACCTCAAGGTCCTATTGGCCAGCGGCCGGTAAGCCCCTCTCCCAGGGGCGGGGCGGGCGCTGCTCTTGCAAGCAGCTAACCCAGTTGGATTCCCGGCACCCCTGAGCCGTGCCAGCCCTGAGCACGGCCAGGGGAGGCACAATCAAAGGTCCCCCCACTGCTGATCACACACAGACCTCTGTGACTCTGATCCCCTGACAGCGGGCACAGAGCAGCACCTCGGGAGCACAGCTGCGCTCCAGAGTGACACCCCCACGCAGGGCCCAGGGGCACCCGGGACTGTGAGGGTAGTAACTTTTAGGCGTGGAGGGACTGCACGACAGCCTGGAGCACCCCAGCGGCTGGGCTGCGCGAGCACCTGGCGGGAGTGGGGTCCCGTACGGACTTTTTCAGGACCCAAAGCACCAGGAGAAGGAAAAGAAGAGGCCAGAGAGTTCTGGAAGCGCAGCCACAGCTATAGCTGGGGGAGCTCCCAGAAGTGGCGCATGAAACCACCGAGGTGCCCCAGGGGGCAGGGGTCAAGTGTGCTCAGAAGATCGGCGTGGGGAGGGTGTGGATGAGGGAGGAAGGCGACGGGGATTGAGACACTTTAGTGGGACGAGCACAGGGCGGGCTTAAGGGCGGAGAGGGGGGCCTGGCGAGGAGCTGGGTTGGGGGTGCAAATGCGAAGATGGCCAGAATGCGGGTGCTGCTCGCTGGGAGCGGGCTGGGCAGTCCCCTGAACGGGGCAGCAACCGGCAGGGAGCCGGGCGTGCCTCCAAATGGGCCAGGGACACGAGTGGGTGGCGACAGGCAAACGGACTAGCGACAAGGCCAGGCGCTACGTTGGGAATATGGCCCAAGGAGGCTGGGGGTGGGGGCGTGAGCGGACAGGGGCCGAGTTGGGGCCAGCTACAACCAACCAACCAGTGGGGCGAGTCCAAACGTCAGGGGGCAACTGGGGTTCAGGGAGGTAGAGCCCGTGCAGGGTCAGGCCGGGGCTGCTGCACCCTAAGGATGGACAGGCCAGGGCTCGGGTCCCGACCGGGGTGCAGGGACACGCCGGATCGCGGGGCCGGACCGGGACGTGGGGACAGGTTCGGGGACGGGCCAGGGAGCGTCGGGGACCCGCCAGGGCGCGGGGGCAGGCGCGGGGACGAACCGGGGCGCGGGGGACACACCGAGGCGCGGGGACAGGCTCGGGGCTAGGCCGGGCCAGGGCGCGGGGACGGGTCAGGGCTCGGGAACCGGCAGCGGCGCGGGCTCGAAGCTAGGTCGCGTCGGGGTGCCGGGACAGCCCGTGGCGCGGGGCCGGGCCGAGGCTCGGGAAGCGTCAGGGGCTCGGGGACCGGCTCGGGGAGGCCGGCAGCGGCGGGGGCCGGGCACGCACCGTACGGCTGGCCCTGCAGGTCGTACTGCTGCATGCGGTAGACCGTGAACTCGTGCGCCGCTTCGGCGGCCGGCAGCGGCGGCGCCACCAGCAGCAGCACGGCGGGCAGGAAGACGATGAAGCCGAGCGGCAGGCACGACGCCTTCAGCATGTTCTCCAGCACCTCGCCCGCTTCCTCAAGCATCCTGGCTGGCGGCGGGGCCGCGCGAGGCGGCAGCGGCGGCGACCGGGAGCGGACGGGGTAGCAGCGGCAGATCCCGCGGACTCACCTCGGCATGGGTTGGCGCCGGGGTCCTGCGGGCATCGCGCCGGGCAGCCCACGGGGTCCTTCGGGCACTGTGGGAGACAGCCCCGTCTGGCCGCACAGCCTGCCGGGAATCGTAGTCTCTCCACCTCCGCCGCGCGCGGAACTCTGGGATCTGTAGGCCCGGCCTCCCGGACTCTCGGGTTGGAAGCCGGACTTGGACTGTCAGGAAGCTGACGAAGTTTCACGTGAACTCCAGAAAACACGGAACTTAAAAATGCTATATTCCCTAGAACTTATTTAAACCCTGACTTAGTTGTTGGGGGAGGAGGGGGCGGGGAAGGCGAGAGGCGAAGGGACGTGACCTTGCAACCCGGAAGGACGCAAATTGGGGGTGGGGCAAACAGCCGCGCTAGGTATCCTGGGGACTGTAGTCCCGTTGCGTTGTCACACAGGATCCTGGGAACTGTAGTCTTTTTGGCAAAGCTCAGCAAAAAAAAAAAAAAATATATATATATATATGATTGAAAATCCCCGAGGGAAATTAGAAGATGTGGAAGTTCACGAGGATTTTGCCTCTTTTGTGTTGTGACGTGTGCCTAGAACCTAACTCGAGGCCCGGCACACAGTGCGGGGGCCTCTTTTTTTTTTGAAGTCATAGTCTTGCATCTTGCATCTTGAAATTGAACCCGCGGCCACAAGCCTACAAGACCTCTTGATCTTTATCCCCAGCCTTGACGGATGACATTGCTTGGGATGAATGAATGGACAAGGGAGAGCCAGAGACCGACTCACAGGGCTGAGAGCATGCTTTGTGTGAATGAGGAGGAGTCTGGAGTTACATCCCCGCACGCCACCACCACTCGTCCCTCCTTCCCCAGATGTGGCCCTCCCCACACCACCCTGCCAAAAAAAAAAAAGGAAAGAATTCTGAACAGAAGCTTCCTTAGGGGCCAAGGCAATGATCTAACAGTACTTGGAATCAGCCTCCAGCACTGGGTAGTGATAGAATTGCCCACACCAGACTTTTTTTTTTTTTTTTTTGGCGTTTTGGGTCACATCTGGCGATGCACTGGGGTTACTCCTGGCTCTGAACTCAGGAATTACTTTATTTCAGGCGGTGCTCAGGGGACCATACGGGATGCCAGGGATCAAACCCAGATCACGGTATGCAAGGCAGTCGCCCTCCCAGCTGTACTATGGCTCCGCCTCCAGGCTGCTTTTATGTGAGATATTCTTCTAGACCATGATTATCTTCACGCCTGCACGGGATAGAGCAGTAGCTCAGTGGGGAGGGTGCTTGCCTTGCACACAGCTGATCCAAGTTCGATATCCGGCATCCCATGGCATCCCTCAAGCTCGCCAGGAGTGATCTCTGAGTGCAGAACCAGGAGTCAGTTCTAAACGTCTCAAGGTGTGGCCCAAAAACCAAAAATAAAAGCAGGAGAGTGATCCCTGTTCAGGCAGGGGAAGGAGCTTCTCAGTAGAGCACCCACCTAGCATGAGGTCCAGGAGACCCGGGGTTTAATTCCCCCATAAACTAAAGAAAACCGGCAACCCTAAGACTTCACTGCCTCAAGGCTGGGGGACATGGGGGGCGTTGGTAACTCCCACCTATTTCTTAGAGAAGGGAAGACAGAGGCCTGAGGCGGAGAATGCAGAATGCACCTCCCTGTGCCTGGCAAGCTGACGTTCCAGAATCCACTGTGCTCACCTAAAGGCCTGGGCCTCCCTCTCTGTCCCAGGTGACAGGTGGCATTTGCACTGTTGATCACATGACTTCCTTCCCTTGCCTGCTGTGTGACCTTGGGTAAAGTGAACTCACCTCTCTGGTTTTGATTTTGGTTTGTTCTTGTTTGGTTTGGTTTGGAGGACACACCCAGCGAAGCTCCTTGGCTTATTCCTGTCTCTGCACTAAAGGGTCACTCCTGGTGGCTCGAAGGACAGTATGGGATACCAGGGATTGAACCTGGGTCAACCTCATGCAAGACAAAAATTCATCCCCCCTCCCCAACCCCCCGCAGCCACCCTGTCTCTTCATCTGACTCTGTTCTATTCCTTTATGAATATCTGTGTAGGAACCCTGAGGGTACGGCTCAGTGACTGCCTTGTAGAGATGAAGCCAGCGTTGCCCACATGCGCATGCACAGAACTGGGGTGTGTGTGTGTGAGAGAGAGAGAGAGAGACAGACAGACAGACACAGAGAGAGATGCAGTTACAGTACGTGGCCCTCCACCCACCGACACTACATCCAAAGATGAGCCACAAACAGGAGTCACAACCCAGCCAGCCCGCGAAGAAGCAAAGCAGTTCAAGTGTGCAAAGCCCTGTGGAGCCACAGCTCAGTGTTCACGTGCCACCAGAGGTGCACGGCCACCCCCAGCCCCGGGTCACCACAGCAGTGACAAGCAAAAGAGAAAAGAGAAGAACTAATGGGGGAGGGAGAGTTGGAGCAACAGGACAGCGCAGAGGGCATCTTCCTTGCACGTGACCGACCCGACTTCCATCCTTGGCATCCCATAGGGTACCCTGAGCACCACCAGGAGTGATCCCTGAGTGCAGAGCCAGGGACTAAGTCCTGAGCATCGCAGGGTGTGGCTCCAAAACAGAAAAAAGATAACAAACTGCCATCCTCAGGGACGGAGTGATAGCACAGTGGGGCAAGCTTTGACCTTGCATGTGGCAGACCTGGGTTCGAGTCCCAGTACTCCATAGGGTTTCCAGAGCACTGCCAGGAATGATCCCTGAGTGCAGAGCCAGGAGTAACCCCTGAGCACTGCCAGGTGTGAAACCCCTCCACAAAAACAAACAAACAAACAAAATCCACATACTCATGGCCAGGGAGATGCCTCAAAGGTACAATACAGAGGACCAAAGAGATGGGACAGTGAGGAAGGCGCTTGCCTTGTAAACGGCTGACCCAGGTTCGGTCCCAGGCACCCCATCAGGTCCCCCAAACACCATCAGGAGTGATCCCTGAGCGCAGAGCCAGGAGTCAGCACTGAGCACTGCCAGGTGTGGCCCCAATCCCTCCCTCAATAAAAAGGTGCAGATCATAAGCTAGGTCATAGTTCAAGCCTGTTTAAACTGGGGTGCAAACACTGCTGCGAGCCCCAGAGCCAGACCAGCAGGGCTCACTCTCCCTCCCGGCCTCCTTACCCAGCCAGGAGGGTCAGAACCCAAGCCTGGAGAGCCAAGATCCTGCCAGCATGACAAAAAAGTGCTCAAGCGATAGCACAGCGGGGAGGGCATTTGCCTTGCACGCGGCCAATCGTGGTTCGATTCCCAGCATCCCGTAGGGTCCCCCGAGCACTGCCAGGACTAATTCCTGAGTGCAGAGCCAGAGTAACCCCTGTGCATCGCCAGGTGTGACCCAAAAAGGAAAAAATAAAAATGAAAAAGCACGACTCAAAGAATCTGCCTTCCGCCTTCCGAGCTGCCGTTTCGCTTTGATTTTATTTTTTTAACTGCTTTTTTTCTTGACATTTGTGGGGCCACCCCCCCCCACACACAGTGGCTTCAGGGCTTGCTGGAGGAGGTGGAAGAGTTGGAGTTCACCCAGTGCCCCTCACCTAGAAGCCCAGACCTCCAGACCCCACTAGCCATGGTGCTAAACTCAGTGGTTTGAACTGCAAGAACCGTAAGATTCTGGCCTGAGCCAAGCCCACCCACCGGTTCTGGCCCATACCATGATAAGAAGAGAGTGAAACCGTGGCATCCCAGAAGCATCTCGGGGGGTAGGGGGAGGATAGAGACTGAGTCCTAAGCACTGGGGGTCTTGTGCTGTGTTGTCTATTCCGTAGGTCACTGAGAGCATCAGGATAACTTCTCTTACTGGGGGAGGTGCTCCCATCACAGTGCTCGGGACTCCTCCCACAGTGCTCAGGGACCTGGAGTGTCAGGTTTCCACATGCAAAGGCTGGCCTTCAGCCCTCTGAGTCATTTAAATCCCCCCTCCCGGGCTCTGTCAAGGATCCCAGGAAGTTCAGGAGGTGGGGAACCGACCTGATCAGATACAGGATGTGTCACCTCAGAGCGACCTACCCCATTTTTTTTTTCACCTCCTATGACAGCACCCAGACTGGTGGCCCAAAGGACATTGGAGCCCAGGAAGGCCATGCGTGCTCCAGGGAACTGCACAGAGTGGCCGCCCACGTCTGTCCCCTAGACTGGGCCCCAGGGGGTCAGGAGGTCACTGGGCCAGAGATAGGGGAACAAGCGCGGAGCGAGTACAGAACATCCTGACAAGGGGCAGGGGAGACAGGACAGCGAGGAGGGCGTTCGCCTTTCATGTGGCCGACCTGAGTTCAATCCCCAGCATCCCATACGGTCCCCTGAGCACCGCCAGGAGTTATTCCTGAGCGCAGAGCTAGGAGTAACCCCTGAGCATTGCTGAGTGTGACCCCAAAAAGGAAAACAGAAGAACAAAACAAACGAACAAAAACACCTGACAAGAATGCTACGTGCCCTGGGCCAGCCTTGGCCAGAGGGAGGCCTGTCACATCTGCACACAGCCAGTCACCTGCATCCCTCAGTTGCTCTGCTTCCCACCGCCCCCACCCCCGGAAACCCCCTAGCACTCACAGTTCATTTGCATACTCACAGTCCGCACCCCAGAGCTGCCCATCCGTGTCCCCCTCGGGTGGGCACACGCAGGACCCAGGGGGCTCCCGCCATCTCAGCCCCCATGAATGTCCACAGGGCTGGGGCCCCCACCCATGGCGCCCCCCCTCCCCACCCTGACGGCCTGGGAGCCCCCAGACAGGGGCTGGCACTGGCCCAGAATCAGCAGAGACAGAGGAAGAGGGGGGCCCCCACTGTGGCTTTTGGCAGAGAGCGGGAACCTGCTTTTGCAGTCCCCGCTGCCCCTGATGTCCCTCAGACGCTCCTGGACACTGGAGATGCTGCACGGGCCCCCGCTCTGGTCCCCGCATCCCGTCCCTGCATCCCTCAGATGTTCCGAATGCTGGAGATACCGCACGGGCCCCTGCGCAGGTCCCTGCATCCATCAGACGTTCCTGGACCCTCAAGATGCCGCACGGGTCCCTGCTCTGGTCCCCGCATGCCTCAGCCGCTCCGGACGCTGGAGATGCCGCGGGGCACCCCCGCTCGGATCCCCACATCCCCCAGACGCTCCGGACGCTGGAGATGCCGCGGGGCCTCCCCGCTCCGGTCCCGCATCCCTCAGACGCTCCGGACGCTGGAGATGCTGCGGGGCCTCCCCGCTCCGGTCCCCGCATCCCTCAGACGCTCCGGACGCTGGAGATGCTGGACAGTGGCTCCCGCATGCGGAAACTGAGCGAGCGGGAGCCGCGGAAACTGTCACGGGGCCGCAGCGAGCTGTCGGTGGTGGACGCCCCTCCGGGGCCCTCGACGGCGCGCACCAGGCAGTCCCGGGGGCCCCGCAGGCCCAGGCGGAGGCAGCCCCAGCACAGGAAGCCCAGCACGGCCCGGCACACCTCGCGGCTGCGGAAGGAGTAGATGAGCGGGTTGACGGCCGAGTTGAGCACGGCCAGCGCCAGGATCCAGTCCATGCCGCGCAGGTACTCCTGCGCCCAGACGTTGGAGCCGAAGACGTCGGCCAGCAGCAGGCCGAAGAGCGGCCCCCAGCACAGCACGAAGGCGAGCAGGATGAGCAGGACGGTGACGAGCAGGCGGCGCGCCTTGCGCCGCGCGGCCGGCCGCGGCGCCTGGCGCCCGTTGGCGCGCACCACGCGGAAGATGGCCCCGTAGAGCAGCAGGATGGACGCCAGCACCAGGCCGAAGACGGCCACGCAGAAGAGGATGTACTCCTTGGCGTAGAGCGGCAGCAGGCTGGAGCAGCGCGGGAAGGCGCACACGCAGTTCCAGCCCAGGAGCGGCAGCAGCCCCCAGCAGCGCGGCCAGCAGCCAGCACAGCCCGATGAGCCCGTACACGCGGCCCGTCTTGGTGGCGCGGCTCTCGGCCACCGGCCGCACCATGGTGGCGAAGCGCTCGGCCGCCGTGAAGAGCAGGCTGAAGGTGGACGCGGCCAGCGCCGTGAAGAGCAGCCCCTCGCGCAGGAACCACTGCTCGGGCGCCAGGCGGAAGGTGCGCGCGCCCGACAGCAGCACGTTGGCCAGGTACGCGGCGCCCGTCAGCAGGTCGCTGAGCGCGATGTTGAGCAGGCAGTAGTACACCCAGCGGCGCGAGCGCAGGCGGAGCACGATGGCCGCGAGCACCAGCAGGTTCTCCAGCACCACCAGGCAGCTGACCGCCACGAAGAGGCCGCGCAGCACGCCCACGCCGCCCGCCGGCTCCGCGCCGCCGCCGCCGGGGCCCCCGCGGCCCGCCAGGCGCCCCGAGTGGTTGTAATGCAGCAGCAGGAGGCGGCTGTGTCCCCGGGCCGCCAGCTGCAGGCAGGACTCCAGGGCGGCGGTGCCGTTCATGGCCCGGCCAGGCTGAACAGCACCCCCTGCCCCTCTCTCTCTCTCTCTCTCTCTCTCTCTCTCTCTCTCTCTCTCTCTCTCTCTCTCTCTCTCTCTCTCTCTCTCTCTCTCTCTCTCTCTCTCTCTCTCTCTCTGTCCCAGGTGCAAAACAAATGAATAACCCTGCCCTGCGCGCTGCTCCTCACTCCCTTGGTGCTCTCCCTCCACCCTCTTTCGATGCTGGGTTTCCTGTTATTCGAAATTTCCTGTTGTGTCAAGGTGCCCCCCCGCGGGTGGGGGGTGTGGCTGCGGTGGGCATGGAGGAGGGCCCCCCCAGGGTGGGGGTGTGGCTGCGGTGGGTGGGTGGGTGGGGAGGGGCCCACGGTCCAACGGCCTCCTCAGCAGCAACGGGTGTGATCTCTCCCACCCCAGGCTGGTCCCCTTCCGGCCCTCAAAAGCCAGCGGGATGGGCACCCCCGCCCTTCCCCCCCTCCCCCCACCGAGAGGAAGTAGATTCCCTGTGGCCCCTCTGTGCCTCCTGGGCCCCCCCCCCCCGAACCCACCCCTACAGCCTGCCTGCCCTCGCTAAAGCCATCCCCCACCCGGTGAACCTGTTCTTCGAAATTTCGGAGAAGTAGGTGCTTCCAGGGGCACGACCAGCTGCCCGCTTCATGGGGAGGGAGAGTGCCCCTCTTCCCCCTCGCCACTGGGTCAGGGACCCCTGTGGCAATCCAGCCACAGAAAGGGAAACTGAGGCCTGGAAGGCAGCAGCAGGTCCCAGAACCGACATGAATAGACCTACTAGACCAGGGGTCTGATGGAGGAGGCACAGACATGCCCTGAGGGTCTGCGGGGGGAAGGCACAGGCCTGCTTTGGGGGGTCTGAGGAGGCAGGCACAGGCCCTCCCTGAGGGTCTGAGGGGGGAGGCATGGCCCTGTCTGGGGGTCTGAAGGTAGAGAGTGGAGGCAAAATCAGGTGACGGGGTCTTTACTTTCCTTCCTATGCTGCCAGTCCTCTCTGAAAAAGCTGGCGTGTGTGGGGGGGGGTGCGCTAGGGGTGCACAGCAGGGGACTGTGGGTGTGGCACAGGGGACTTTGGGGGGTCTGGCAGGCTTACCTGCAGGAGATGCTGTGGGGTCTGGACAGGTTCACCAGCAGGGGATGCTGTAATAGAGGTCTGGACAGTTTTGACAGCAGGGGGCGCTGTAGAGGGTGGGGGGGACTGGACAGGATTGCCAGACAGGCACTGTAGAGGGGCTTTAGGCAGGTTCGCCAGCAGGGGGGCGCAGTGGGGTCTGAACAGATTTATCAGCAAGTGGTTGTGAACTTTATCTTATCTCTGCACAGCCCTTTCCTTCACCCTCAGGCACAGGAGGGGCCCAGGAATTCCCCCAGGGGCAGGACTTGGGAGGTCTCAGTGCTCCTCGACACACCCCAGTCTTTGATCGCTGTTGTAGAAGAAGCCCGGCTGGAGGGAAGTTGGGGAGCCCTGCATTAAGGGACAGGAGGTGCTGAATGTGGGAAGGGGCCATGTCTGCCCAGGTGCCAGCCCACAGCAGCTCAGCCCGGGGCCAGCCTCGACCACTGACAGACGCATCCCCGAAGTCTGGGTGCTGAGACCAAGCCCCATGCCCTGCTGAGTTCTGAGCTCAGAATGAACCCTCACCTTGCTGGGATCTCAATAACCCCCAACCCTGAACCTGGCTGAAATTCAACCCCTGGACAGAGCCTGGATCCATCCCAACCTGAACCCCATATGGAGCTGGGCCCCAGTAATTTATGTCCCCCAGCTCAGATAGCCCTGAATAACACTCCCCCATAGAGACACCGAAAGAGCAGTGCAGGCTGACTATGAGGGCAAGATTGGGTCGCTATATCCATTCTCCTCTCCTCTCCTCTCCTCCCCTCCCCTCCCTCTTTTCTCTTTCTTTCTTTCTTTCTTTTCTTTCTTTCTTTCTTTCAGTCAAGAATCACACCTGGCGATACTTAGCAGTTTCTCCTGGCTTTGCATTCAGGAATCACTCCTGCTGGTGCTCAGGGGACCTCATGGGATGCCAGGTATCGAACCTGGATCAGCTGCGTTCAAGGCAAGCGCCCTCCCCATTGTACTATCTCTCAGGCTACTCGTAGCCATGTCCTTCTACCATGAACTCTGGCAGGGGCCAGGCTGTGAGCATTAGACCTTGCTGAATTTCATGGGTATTCCCCATGTGGCAAATGGCGATCCTCACCCCCCAAAATTCACTCAAAGGCATAGCTGTACACTAAATGAATCGACACTAAATGTAATCCATTAAAACACTTTTTGCAAAAACAAAATGGTAGAATCAGGGCAAATGTCTAACCACAGGGAGAGGACAAGAGTTTGCCTGGCAAAGAGCGACACTGGCTGGAGAAGGAATGAGAGAGGTCTCTGGGAGTGGCATGGAGTGAGCCCCAGAGATAGGGCTAAAAACAGAACAGGGGTTTAGGTGCTGGCCTTGCACACGTCCAACCCAAGTTCAATCCCTGGTACCCCCACAGGGTTCCCTGAGCACAGAGTCCTCTGTACACAGAGCCAGGAGTAAGTCCTGAGTACCATCCGGTGTTCCAACTCCACTCCCCCTCAAAAAAAGTTTTAGTTTTTTCTTTTTGGGTTACACCTGCTAGTGCTCAGGGACTACTCTTGGTAGTGCTCTGGGGACCCTATGTGATGTCAGATTAAATCTGGATCAGCCGTGTGCAAGGCTGACTACCTACCTGCTGTACTATCTCTTGGGCCTAAGAATGAAAAAATGATAAAAGAAAAAAAGAATGGGGCTGGAGTGATAGTACAGTGCCTATGGCGTTTGCCTTGCATGCAGCAGACCTGGGTTTGATTCCCAGCATCCCATAGGGTCCCCCGAGCCCCGCCAGGAGTATTCCTGAGTGCATGAGCCAGGAGTAACCCCTGTGCCTTGCCGGGTGTAACACAAAAAGGAAAAAAAAAGATGGAATATACCTGGGAAACAGCCTAAGCTTCCAGCGTGGGATCTGAAGGAATAGCCTAGGGTTTAGTGCTCCTGCCTTGCAAGTGTGTGGTCATAAGTTCAAATCCCTGGTGCCACACATGAGTACGATGCCGAGAGCTCTGCTGTTTGAGCCTGGCAGCTTTCTTCTCTGTGATCTCTGGTGCCATAGGTGGCTATCTCTGGCCACACTGCAGCCAGGGGTGTGAGAGCCAGGAGGGGCGAGAGGGGGCCGGAACCATAGTACAGCAGGAAGGGCATTTGCCTTGCACATGACTGACCTGGGTTCAATCCCTGGCAACCCATAGGATTCCCCAAGCACCACCAGGACTAATTCCTGGAGCGCAGAGCCAGGAGTAAGCCCTGAGCATCACCGGGTGTGGTCCCCAAGCAAAAACAGAAACAACAACAAGGTGTGATTTCAGCTACAAAGCTCTACAAATGCCAGGGCCAGGAAGGGTGACCCCATGAGCAAGGTGTGAGCACTGCAGCGACCCCTAGTGGGAACCACAGCCACAACATTTTTTTTCTTTGGGGGGGAGGGGCACTGCTGAGGGTTCACTCCTGGCGGGTTCAGGGGACCCTGTGGAGTGCCAGGGATGGAACCCAGGTCCGCCACATGTGAAACAAGCAAGCATCCTCCCCGCTGTCCTACTGCTCGGGCCCCACACCCATAACTTCTCTGCCTCCACTAAGAGAGTGCTCTCAGCCAGCTCCTGAGCAAGCACCCCCCCTGAAGAAAGAAGGCAAACTTGGGGGAGCACCGCAGCCCCCTGTGTGACCCCTGCAAGCACCTCAGCGAAAACTGCGAGCACAGCAGCCGGGCGAGTGTGTGAACCCTGATGCTGGCCACTGCAGCACAAGGGGGAGAGGGGTGGAACGTAAAAAAACAAAAGTACAAACCGCAGGTTCGATGAAAGACGGAGCCAAGCAGACATGGAGCACGCGAGCAGGCGCCGCTGCGGTGTACGCCCGCGGTCTGGGGCTGGAAGCAACAGCTCAGCGTTTTCGAACCCGGGGGGGGGGGGGGGGGGGGGGGAGGTTCTGGGTGACGCTGAGACTGCCATCAAAGCAAACACCGCCGTGCGCGTCTCCAAGTAGTTTGGGGGCGGCCACACCCACCAGAGGGCTGCAGTCGGCTGACACAAGCTAGTGCGTTTGTGTGCGTGTGTGTGTGTGTGTCCTGCCCAACTAGCTGTGACTTTCGCACAAGTTTGACAGTGCTCAGAGGAGGGTGGGGTACGCATCAAAGAGTGAAAAGCCACCTGGGGGAGAGGCAACAACCACGTGCCAGTAAATTTTATTGATAAAATCAGGCCACCTGGCACAATATGTAAATAAGTGCACGTGGCTTGTGCCAGCAAAGCGTTACTGAGACGCCCAGCTCACCATGCAAATGAGGTGGGCGTGGTTGGGTGTCAATAAAACTTTATTGAGACTAGCAGGTTTTAGAGGGGGGGTGGAACCGTGGGAACGTATATAAATATGGGCATAGCCATGTACCAACAAAACTTTATTGACAAAAATATAGGCTTAGAGCAACTAGCTGGCTGACCCCAACCTTAGATGAAGGATCTATGGATGCTCATTGTAAGCAATTTCGCAATTTCTGTAGGTCTGAGATGTTTTCAAAAGAGGCGAGATGAAGAAAAGATGGATTTCTTCACTTGTGGTGAGATCCTGCTTAGCAGGAACCAGGGGCTGCTTGGCCCAGGGCAGGGTGCAAAGGTACAAGGGGGAGCCCTGAGCAACTTAGGGTTCCAGGATTTGGCCCCAGGGGACCGGTGAGACACTGACAGGGGGTTAAGGGGTCAATTCAAAGAGATTTTGCTGGTCAGAGAGAAACACCCCAGCGTGCAAAATTCACAATCAGTGGAGTGGCAGCAACCTCTTGCCTGTGTAGTTTGGGGAACTAACTCGTCTGAAAACTGCCAAGTGCGGGCAAGAACCTGACCTTTCTCCCCTCTTTCCTGTCTGGGTTCTTAGTTCTGGGAAACCAATTACCCAACAGGGCAAAGCTTTATAAAAACATGCTACCGCTAGAAAGTTTTGCTTTGGGGGACAAGAGCGGTAGTACAGAGGGGAGGGTGCTCGCACGTGGCTGACCTGGGTTAAATTCCTGACTCCCCATAGTGTCCCCTGAGTACCACCAGGTATGATCCCTGAGTGCTGAGCCAGAAAGCACTGCGGGGTGTGATCCCCCAACACCCAAAGCAAAGAAAACAGCCCCTCCTGGCCTCTGTGAAGTTCTGCCTAAAGATGTGTAACAACAACCAGCCCACAAGCAAACTTCAAACCGACTCTGATGGAGGGAGGGTTGATACAAACGGGTGAAATGGGCCAGAATGATAGTACAGCGGGGAGGGCACTTACCTTGCATGCTGCCAACCCAGGTTCTATCCCTGGCATCCCATCGGGTCCCCTGAGCACTGCCAGGAGTGATCCCTGAGTGCAGAGCCAGGAGTAAGCCCTGAGCACCACCAGGTGTGGCACCAAAGCCAAAAACAACAACAGCATGAAACAAAAAGTGTTGAATTATAGTTCCAAGCATTTTAGGCTTAACATTGGGTTGTCCTTTCTCCTCAGCAGGGAACTTAGGTAATTGAATTATACCCACCACAGTGCTTGCTCCTGAGGCACACCCAATTCCACTGGGGCACTCCCAATTCTCTGTTTATCTTTATTTATTTATTTTGCTTTTTGGGGGGATCACACCTGGCGATAAACGGAGGTTACTCCTGGCTCTGCACTCAGGAGCTACTCCTGGCAGTGCTCAGGGGACCATATGGGATGCTGGGAATTAAACCCGGGTCAGCTGCGTGCAAGGCAAATGCACCTATCCACTGTGCTATATCTCCAGCCCCATCTGTGTTTATCTTTAACCTCTCCTTTGTGTTCTTCTTCCCCTGTTAGTCACAAATATCTTCATATCAAACATGGTGACTTGTAAAATCAGACCTTCTGATGGCTCTGGATTTTGTTTAAGTGAAATGCTGCTTTTCTCTTTCCTTTCTGTCCTATGCATATTTTAATTTTAGAGCAATGTTCTTTTTGTATAGACACAGGAAGACAGTTAATGCTATGCTTTTGTAATATGGGCATTAACTGAGTCTGAATATTTACTCCTGGGCATCTGACATATTTACTTGAATTAAGCCTCAGTTGCCCTTAGATGTACCTTACTTCCCACCAAGATATTGGATGGACCTGGGGCAAGCTGTAAACTACCCTAGCTTTGACCTGGGACTGCCTAAGCGCCGTAAAAAGCATAAGTTAAAAGCACGGTCATGGAAAAAACTCTGACATGACCCAAAAAGAAATAATTGAATAAGGACCTTATTAGGGTTAGGACAAACTAAGCTGGCTTGAGGACTGTATTCTGGGAAATATAGTGAGATGTCCCCAGGAAAACCCACCCTTTATGATGAGTCCAGAGGAGAGCCTTTTGAGTTTAATCCAGGGTACAAATAAAAGCATATCTCTCTTATTGTGTTCATACAAAATGACTAGAAATATTATTAAATAATATTTAATAATAAATTTAAGTAAAATTAAGAAGTAAATTTAATATGATTATTTAAACGGATTACCAGTAAAGGAAAGGAGAAAGCAATATGCCCTTCGATGGTGTCCCGCCCTTGGGGAGATCTCCTAGAGGGAATCTAGAATTCCCTAGATGGAATCCAGTCCTTGGGCGGATCTCCTAGAATTCCCCCTGAAGGAGGGGCTTTACATCTGCTCCTTCTTTATGTTCAACCACACCTATGTGTAATTCCTGCCCCCCAATCCTTCACGATTTCTATATAATAATGCTGGTAGATTTGAATAAAGTGTCAGTGGCTACCAGCCTGTGGATCTGTACACTTGTCCATTGGACGTGGAGACAATCATTGGCCCTGAACGAACCAGTGGACCCCAGTCACCACGAAATGGTGACTCAGACAACTGGCACCCAACATGGGGCACCTCAAAATTCAGACCAAAAGGCATTATTTGGGGGGGGATTTTAAAAAACATATTCAGTGCACAGAATTCTTGACTTTGCCAACTCTTGGGTATGTATCAGACTCAAATGCTTTCTTTTCAGGGTCCAGGGATAGTACAGCGGGGAGGGCACTTGCCTTACACACAATCCATTCAGGTTTGATCCCCAGCATCCCATAGGCTCCCAAGCACTGCCAGGAGTGATTCCTGAATGCAAAGCCAAGGTGTGCCCCCCGCCCCCAACAAACAGACAAGGAAAATCTTTCATTTCTCCATCCGTTTCCGCGTCTGTAAACTCGGGTTGTAGGGAAATTTGGGGATGGTCGGCATTGCAGTTTGTAAGTGGGGTGGCCACAGGGTGGGGTACAAACGTGCCCCCAACCTGGGCCCAGGCGACAGGTTGAAGTCCACGTCCCCGATGGCGGGGACCCACACACAGGGGCCTAACAAACGCCCAGGCCAGAAAGAGACAGAGCTTCAGACTTGCATCTTCGAAGTCCAGCCCACAGTGGGAGCAGGGAAGAGGAGGTAAGAAATCCAGAAGGCTGTAGACCGCACACGCCGGTCTGGCTCCCATCCTCGATTTCCCTCGTGCGGACTTAGGCAAGAAAAAGCTGGAGTCATGAGACTCTAGACAGCCGAAAAGGCCGAAAGCGTCTTTCCGGTTCCCCGCCGCTGAAAAGGGAAGTGGGTGTGGCCCAGACCGGAGACGGGAACCAGGCCGCCTCCGCGCCGCTAGGGGGCTCCCGAGCCCGCGGTCCTGAAGGGCCACGCCTCCCTCCTGGGCCGCTCCTTTATCACTCCAGACCCTGCCCAGGATGTATTTCTCAAGTCTGAATCCTGGCCTCCGGAAGGGGAACTGCACACCCTCTTTACAGAGAGGGAAACTGAGTCTAGAGCGGAGCACCCTGGACGTGGAGAAGGCAGAGGGCAGCGACCAAGCCTCTGCTCCCTGGACTCCCTGGTTGCTCTCAGGGCCACCAGGCAGGGTCAGGAGCAAGGGGCAGTGCCTGTGCCTGTGGGTCCCGCATTGATGGGGTGGGGGTCCCGGGTCAGAGCAGGTTGATCTCGTCCAGATAGCGGGCCAGCACGGAGTCCCGCACGTCCTTGAAGACCTTGCGGATGTTCTGTGTGTCCGTGGCGCACGTGTAGTGGCTGAAGAGGCGACGGGAGCGCGCGCTCTTCCGGTCCCCGTCGGCGTCTGCGCAGCCCGCGTACATGCGGGTGTACATGTCCAGGATGAAGCTCTTGGCGGCCTCGACGTCCCGCCTCGGGCCTGGGGGAGCATGGGGGGCGGCAGTCAGGATGCAGGGCTCCAAGCGCGGCAGGGAAACGTCCCTGCCCAGGCGAACCCCCTTCATCCCGCCAAGAGCAACCCCAAAGCCCCAGGATCCGCGTGCCTTGCTGGCCGCTGGATGGCGCCATCTGGTACTTCTCTGGGTCATATGACCCTGACCAGCCAATGGGCGTCTCAAAAACAAACTTCCATGTGACCCGGAATGGACCGATGAGATTCTGCCCTGAAACCCTGGGCAGAGCTGGATTCAAGAGATATCTGGAGGGGATGCGTTTGCATGCAGCTTACCCGGGGGTTCAATCCCCAGCATCTCTAAATGGGGCAGTCCCCTGAGCATCTCCAGGAGAAATTCCTGTGTGCTGAGCCAGTCGTAATCCTTTCCTTGAGCATTGCTGGATGTGGCCCACCCAAAACCAACAAATCTTAAAGGGGGGGGGGGGAGAGAGAGAGAGAGAGAGAGAGAGAGAGAGAGAGCACCCAGACAGAGAAGATGGTCACATGAAATCACATAAAAAGGGAGGCAGATCCTGGAACAATACATTGAAGTCAAGGATTTCTAAGGATTTTTGGTTTTTGTTTTGTTTTGCATTTGGGTCACACCCAGCTATGTTCTGGGTTATTCCCGGCTCTGCACACAGAAATCACTCCTGGTAGGCCCCGGGGCCATATCAGATGCTGGGATTGTATCTGGGTTGACCCTCCTTCCCCACTGGACTTCTTCAAATGATTTCTGTCTAGCTTCTTCCAGAAGCCGGCAATGAGGCCAGGAACAGAATTTCCCTAGATCTTCTGCAAAGAGCCCAGCACCCAACGCCTTGATTTTACATTTCTGGCTTCCTTGGGACTGAAGAGACAGTACAGCAGGCGGGGTGCTTGCTGTATGTGTGGCTGAGCCAGGTTCAATCTCCAGCACCCCACAGGGTTCCCTGAGCCCGCCAGGGATGATCCCTGAAGTCCAAAGTGAGAAATTAACTATGAGCATTGCCGGGTGTGCTCCACTCCCTCAAAAAATAACAAAAACAAACCTCTAGATTTCTGGCTTCCATAATGGTGAGGTAATAAACCTCTACTGTTTCCAGCTCCCAGGAGGAATACCACATGTCACCAGACTCATGGAACCAAAGCCAAGGGGGAACCATCACTTCCTCCTCCCTGGAAGTCGCCCTCAGAACTCAGAGTCTCTTTACCTCCCACCAAGGGAGATTTTGTTTGATCGATTAAGCGGCTATGGTCGGTTCAGAAGCCACCACCCCGTGGCCGGAAGCCTGACCACTCTGCGGCAGCCATGCTGGGGAGAAGCCTGAGTCTTGGGAAGACACCCTTACAAGAAGACATTAGAGGCAGGAGGGTGAGAGGGAAGGGGAGGGAAGGGGAGGAAGGGGAGGATAAGGGAGGAGGATAGGAAGAGGATCAAGGAGGAGGAAGGCAATGGGGAGAAGGTAGAAGAGGATGGGGAGGAGAGGAGGAAGTGGGAGAAGGGGGAGGAGGAGGAGGGAGGAGCAGAGGGGGCCAGATGCATCCTGGGAGGTGGGTGCATACTTAGTATGGGAAAGATAGACCTTCAGATCACGTGACACATTCCTGTTTAGAACTGTTGCAGAGATAAAAAGATTCTCGTCAAGGAGAAGAGGAGATGGAGGTGCAGATAAATATAAAGCTTGGAGAGACAAGACAGAACGATGCCAGCAGAGAACAAGAAGAAAAGAATGGGCTACAGTGTAGCAGAGGCTGGTTTCCTTTCGCTTCAATGCCTGAAGTTCTTCCCTTGGTCAAACAGCTTTCGAGTGACCTTTAACATTTGTGAGCGGTGGGGCCTTGGGAGGGAACCTGGGAATGACTGATGGTGGATGGGTGCTGGAACATTGTGTGTCTAAAACTCAACTGTAAATAGCTTTGGAAATCATGGCACTTGAATAAAAAGCCAACAATTTGTAAAGAAGGGAAGAGCAAAAAGAAGGGAGGAGGGAGAGGAGAAAGTGGGGCAGGAGGAGGGGAAGAATATGGAGGAGGGGGGAGGGGCAGGAGGATGAGCGGGAGTGGGGGGAGGAGGAGGAGGGAGAGGGAGGAGGGAGGGGGAGGAGGAGGGATGCCTAGGAGCACTTCGGTGACAGATGCCTGAGGCCATCTTACTCCATCCACCACCCCACCTGATGATCAGGGATCAATGATAAGCCACCCCCCTCAACTCTTCGCAAATTCTGAACCCACAAAAATGATCAATGAATTGAAACCCAAGCACAAAAATTTGTAAATCTACAACTGTACCTCATGGTGTTTCACTAATAAAAATTAAAAAAAAAATCAATGATAAAGGACTGACTCAGACCCCTAACTTTTTTCCGGGGGGGGGGGGTGTCTTGGTTGGCAATAGGAGAGTGGGGGTACACTTCCTTGTCTCTCTCCCCCTCACCAGGATCCTCTGGGAGAAGTAGTAAATGCCTCCTTTCCGCCCCGGGGTTCTCTGGAACCCGGACAGGCCTTCTTCTTTTTTTTTTTTTTTTGCTTTCTGGGTCACACCAGGCGATGCTCAGGGGTTACTCCTGGCTCTGCACTCAGGAATTCCTCCTGGCGGTGCTCAGGGGACCCTATGGAATGCTGGGAATCAAACCCGCGTTGGCCGAGTGCAAGGCAAACGCCCTACCCGCTGTGCTATCACCCCAGCCCGGGACAGGCCTTCTATAAGGGACACAAGCCCGTGGGCCGCAGAGGTGCTTCAATGCGTTGAGATGCGGGGGCCGAGGTTCAAGCCCCGCACCCCGTAGTCCGCTGAGCGCCGCCAAGAGTGATCTGCGGCACCTAGCTGGGATCAGCGCCCGGACCAAATCATCACGTGTCCAGGAATGACTAAGATACTCGCTGAAAAATGCGTCCCGGCGGTGCGAGCTGCCGAGCATGTCAGGACACGCAGCTGGACGGCTTGAGTAAGACAAGCACAGCCAGACGGGAGAAGCTGGGGAGAGACTGTCACCCATGCCGCCCCTCACTGAACACAAGTCATTGAGTGACACAGGGCAGTGCTGAGAGGGGCCAGAGGACCCGGGCCCCTTTGCCGCCTGGGGGTGCACTGAAGGCCCGGACCCAGCAACATTTTCCCGCCTGCAGGCACCGAGCATGAGATCAGCCTGCCCACGACACGCCCTGCCAGCCACAAGCCCATCGTGCAAACGTGGAACCAGGCGGCTCCGACCTCAGTCACGGAAAAATTGGGGTTTGGGGACACACCCAGAGCTTTTCAGGGCTGCTTCCTCTAGGCTCTGCGCTCAGGGGGGGCTCCTGGCAGGGGAAGAATCTCCAGGAAACCAATAAGAGGTGCTGAGGTCGGCGCGTGCCTTGGACCAGAACTCTCTCTGGTCCCCAGAGCCTTTGCTTTGTGTTTGAGTCGCTCCCAGGGGTGCCCAGGGGCCGCTCGGGTGGGGGAATCTGGGGGGGGGGGTATCTCATCTTTGAGGGCTCATCTCCCCAGCCTTGGTGTTTTTAAAAGACCATCTGATTAGGCATAGAAGACAGGATGAGAAACTATCAGAACAAGAAAAGCGCCTAGGCGCTGGAGCAATAGCACAGCGGGGAGGGCGTTTGCCTTGCATGTGGTCAACCCGGGTTCGATTCCCAGCATCCCATATGGTCTCCTGAGCACAGCCAGGGGTGATTCCTGAGTGCAGAGCCAGGAGGAACCCCTGAGCATCGCCAGGTGTGACCCAAAAAGAAAAAAGAAAAAAAAAAGCAAAAAGAAAAGCACCTAAATGCAGGCCGACACTGCCCAGCGGCTGTCGGGAAAGAAGTTGCCCCCAGCGGAGGCCACTCAGAAGACCCATTTGGGTCTCGCGAGAATCTCTATTGGAGCTCTCGAAATCCTACGGTGTGGGTCTCCCGAGAGTCCAGAAGTGGAGCTCGCTCGTCTGCACGTGGGTCTCGCGAGAGCCTACAGTGTGGGTCTCGCGAGAGTGCATGAGAGGTTCTTGCGAGAGCCTCTGATCTTGGTCTCGCGAGGGTCTTTGGGCAGTCTCGCGAGAGTTCCGTCTAATGCCTTCTGCCCTCGCTGCCTGGATTTATAGCAGGAGACGGAGAAGCGGGGCGGCTGCGCTGTGGGAGGGTCTGGAGTTACCGCGGGTGGGGCCATCTGGGAGACAGCCACTGAGGCCAGGTGGCTGGGGGGTGGGGGCCTGGAAGGGTCTGGAATGTTCTCGAAGAACTCACCCTGGAAACTGGGGAAGTAGGTCGCCAGGTGCGAGGTGGGGATCTTCTCCTCCAGGATGTCGGTTTTGTTGAGGAAGAGGATGACCGACGTGCTTTTGAACCAGGGCAGCTCCAAGATGGTGCCGAAGAGGGCCAGGCTCTCTTTCATCCGGTTCTGGGGGTGGACACAGGCACTGCTCCCGCTGGCCGCCCCCCACCCCCGACGGGAGCCCCCGCTCCATGGAGAGACCCAGGGGAGCCGGCCACCTTCCTGCCCCGTAGGGCGTGGGGGGGCTGTGTGCAACTTCGCTGGTTTTGCAGCTCTTGGTTGCACCCCGCACCGTGCAAATTCTTGTCTGCCTGGAACTTGGGGATGTGGCCTTGCCTGGAAATTGGCCCAGAAGTTAAAAGGATCGTGCCGGCTTGGGTGACCCCCAATCCAAGGATTGGTGCCTTTTTGAATTTTTTGGCTTCTTGGGGGGTCACACCTGGCTCTGCACTCAGGAATTACTCCTGGAGATACTAGGGGACCCTATGGGGTTCCAGGGATGGAACCCGGGTCACTGCGTGCAAGGCAAATACCCTCCCCGCTGCAATATTGCTCCAGCCCCACCCTGGAGCAATATCGGTTCATTCTTAAGGAACCACACTCAGGGCTGGACCGATAGTACAGCAGGTAGGATATTTGCCTTGCACACAGCCGACCTGGGTTTGATTCCCAGCATCCTATGTGGTCCCCTGAGCATCGCCAGTAGTCATTCCTGAGTGCAGAGCCAGGTGTGACCAAAAAGGGAAAAAAAATTTTAAAAAAAGGAACCACAGTCTTGGGAGATGAGATAGTAAAGGGGTTAGGACACAGGTATGCAGCAGAAATCTGATTCTAGCTCCTGCACCTGCCCCTTCCCTATGGCCCCAAGTGCTTGAGGTCACCAACCACCAAGTGGGTGTTGACCCAGGTTATTCCTGACACCGTAAGCCCTCTGGACCATGACTTGGACAATCCCCTTCCAGTGAACACCCCCTTCTGGGTCCGTCCACTGGTAAACAGGCACTCGTGAGGATTAAGAGACAGAAATGAGAGAAAAAAGCATGGGGTGAGGGGGCTTATAGCGTGAGAGATGGAGACCCCTGACTGTCCTCCACGGACCTGTTTACTGCTGGGAGCCAGTAATCAGGAAGCAGAAGACCAACACTCTTTGGTCAGATGCCGCATTGTCACACGTCCAAGGACCTTAGTGGACCTGGACAAACATCTCTGTGCCGGGGCTTTCTCTAGGACAGATGCTTCTGGGAGAGAGAGCAGAGCTAGAGCGGGACAGGACCCCCGCCGGGGTAGCAAGCCGCGTCAGGTGCCCACATTCTGGGTTGAAAAGTCCCATCAGCTACTCATCCTGGGGCTGGAGCAATAGCACAGCGTGTAGGGTTTGCCTTGCACCCGGCTGGCCCGGGTTCGATTCCCAGCATTCCATATGGTCCCCTGAGCACCGCCAGGAGTAATTCCTGAGTGCAGAGCCAGGAGTAAGTCCTGAGCATGCCAGGTGTGATCCGAAAAGCAAAAACAAACAAAAAAAAAACAAAACTACTCATCCTTTGGGTTGGAGCGATAGCACAGCGGTAGGGCGTTTGCCGTGCACGCAGCCAGCCTGGCCAAGCCAGGTTCGTTTCCTCCGCCCTTCTCAGAGAGCCCAGCAAGCTACCAAGAGTATCTCGCCTGCATGGCAAAGCCTGGCAAGTTACCCGTGAGGTATTCAATATGCCAAACACGGTAACAACAAGTCTCAAAATGGAGACGTTACTGGGCCCGCTCGAGCAAATCAACGAACAACAGGAGAACAGTGCTACAGTGCTACTCACCCTTTGCTCCTCTCTTTATCTGTCTGATCCCCAGTATTCCCCGAATGACACCAATCTGGGCCGGAGTGATTGCACAGCGGGGAGGGCATTTGCCTTGCATGCGGCTGACCTGGGTTCGCCCCCCTGCATCCCATAAGGTCCCCTGGGCACTGCCAGGAGTAATTCCTGAGCGCAGAGCCGCGACTAACCCAAGCATCACCCCAAAAGAAAAAAGAAAATAGGCCAGGGACATAACTGCAGACTTCACACTCAAAAGCCCCGGCAGGAACCCTTCCTGGCACCCCACGGTCCCCCAGCACCATTGAGTGTGGCCTATTTTTTTTTTTTTACAACAGAAAATGGAAGAGGCAAACTGGGCCATCTTGCAGGGCCGGGTTCCAGCAAGACGGTCACCGCGGGTTTATCCGCTGCGAGTCAGAATGAGGTTGTCTGGTTCTCAGTGCCCCGACGGTCCGGAAGCAAACGTCACCCCAAAAAGTGAGCACCTCAGTGGCCAGAAGGCGGCCTTTCTAAATAAATGCACGACAGCGGGGCGACGGTCGCCAGGATTTGCCAGACCAGGGCGAGCGTAGGGAGAATCTGGAGCATGAGTGTCCCTGTGTGCGTTCGCGTCCCTGCAAGCATGCGCGCACGTGTCCATGTCGCACATCTCCGTGCGTGTGCTCATTCCTGCAAGCCTGCGTGTGCGTGCCTGTGTGTGAGCTTGTCCGCGTATGTATGCGTGTTCCTGCAAGCATGCGTATGCATGCGTGTGTCCGTGTGCGCGCGTGTCCGTGCGTGCGCACATTCCTGCCAGCACGTATGCATGCCTCTGTGAGCGTGTGTCCGTGTGTATGCATGTCCCTGGAAGCATGCGTATAGGTGTGCATGCGTGCATGGGTCTGTGTGCGCGCATGCCAGCGTGCGCACATTCCTGCCAGCATGCGTGTGCACGCCTGTGTGAGCGCGTGTCCGTGTACGTGTACCCCTGGAAGTAGGCATATAGACGCCCACGCGTGCGCGTGTCCGTGTGTACGCGCAACCCTGCCATCATGCGTGTGCGTGACTGCGCATGCGCGTGTCCGTGTGTATGCGTGTCCCTGGAAACGTGCGTATAGGTGCCCATGCGTGCACGTGTCCGTGTGTGTGTGTGTCCCTGGAAGCATGACTATAGGTGTCCACGTGTGCACATATCCCTGCGTGCAAGTGTGCGTGTGCGTGCGCACCAGAGGTCAGCATCCCTTGCTACGCAGTTTGTATAGTCTGAGCTGGAACGTGAAGTAGGACTTTCAAGGCTGAGGATGAAGGGCAGAGATGCAGGATGTCACAAAGTCTGTTTTCCCCAGCAGTGAAATGGGCTACTGTGTCCCTGACGACCAGGAGAGGACAGGGCGCAACACCCCTGCAGCCCCAGGCGCCTTCTCACCTCTTGGTTATTCTCCTCCAGACACTGGTCGTACTCACTCAGCGACGCCAGGTAGATGAGGGCGATTACATTCTCGAAGCAGTGAATCCACTTCTTGCGCTCCGACTTCTGGCCTCCCACATCCACAATCCTACGGGAACCGGCCCCTTTGAGAGATTAGGCCTTAGCGGGACCCCCTGCCGTGGGGCATGTCCCCCACCCCAGTCACATAGTCAGGACAGCCAGGCGCTAGCTGCCAGATGTACAGCCCGCGTGCGTGGTGCTGGTGGTTTTTTTTTTTTGGTTGGTTGGTTTATTTATTTTGAGGCCGTACCCAGCGATGCTCAGGGCTTACTCCCAGCTCTGTGCTCAGAACTTATTCCTGGTGGTGCTCTGGGGACCCTCTGGGTTGCTGGGATTGAACCCAGGTCGGCCACATCCAAGCCAAATGCCTTCCCTATCCCTCTGGTCCTTGGGGTTCTGTGTTATGTGAAAGCCCAATGCACAGATGAGAACATGGAAGCTTGGGAGGAGAAGGCATTCCTGCCTCTTCGTTTCCTGAGGGGGGGGGGTCTGATTTCTACCCCCTGTAGAGGTAGGGGGTTGGGGAGTGATGCCCCGAACCAGCTCTGGTGCAGGCTGGGTAAAGAAGTGGTGGCTAGAAGGAGACTTGAAGAGCTGTTCCCCCATTCTTGAAACGAGTGTGCTGCATTGGAGCCGGAGCGATAGCCAGCGGGGAGGGCGTTTGCCTTGCACGCGGCCGACCCGGGTTCAATTCCCAGCATCCCATAGGGTCCCCCGAGCACTGCCAGGAGTGATCAGGAGTGATTCCTGAGTGCAGAACCAGGAATTACCCCTGAGCACTGCCAGCTGTGACCCAAAAAGCAAAAAGAAAAAAGAAAAAAAATGAGCTTGCTGTGTTCTTCCCCTGCCCCATATCAGATGTCACACAGGGTTGGGCCAGCCCTGCCCCGACACAACCACAACAAAAGCTGCATCCTCTTGCCTTCCTGTTCCCTCTTCTAGAGAAATGTGGGTCACTGATAACGAAGCTACATCATTTCCCCAACCAGCACCTACCGTTACTCGGGCAGCCGCAGGAAACAGCCCAGACACTTCCGAGGGGAAGGACCTGCCTTGCGCTGACGGCAAATGTCGGGTCGTCCTACCCCTGGGTCCCCAGCAGAATGACGGGCAGAGGCTGAAGCAGCTTGGGGGTTATTATGTGACACCCCCCCACCCTCCCGACTGTTTCCTCTGAGTCCTCACTCCACTGACTGATGGGTCTTCTTGGCCAATAGCAAACTCAAATTTTCCAGCTACATCATCTACTCAAACCAACCTTCTCTTAGATCTCCTCAACCTTGATCTTTACTCCTTGGCCTTTATCCATCCATCCTCCATTGTAATTGTTCCATCCATCTGCCCACCATTCAACCACTCACCAACCCATGCATCCAACTACCCACCCATCCGCCCACTCATCTACCCATCCACCCACTCATCCATCCCTCCATCACTACACCTGCCCATTCATCAGCCCACCCATCCATCCACCCATCCATCTATCTACCCGTCCATCCATCCAACCACCCACCCATCCATCTATAGGTAAATACACCCACTCATCCATCCACCCATCCATTCATCGATGCATTTACCCACCTATTCACTCCCCTAGCCCCCACCCCATCTTTCCAACTCTTCCCCACATTCACCACCTTCCACTCTGCCAAACAGAGCCTGTGATTTGGTGGGTCTCCCGTGTGGTGGAGACAATCCCGCAGCAGCCGGGAGCCTTCCTGGGATGGTCACTGCAAGCCTCAAAGCATGTTTGCGGGGTGGAGTCCAGTGAAAGGATAATTCAACACTGGGGCCCGACCCCCGGCACCAGGCAGGAACCAGTCACAGCTCTGCCTCAAGGCGCAGTGCTGCAGACAGATTTTCCTGAGCTCCCCAGTGACCCTGGAACTCCCAAAGTTAGAAGTTGTTTTAGGGCTGTTGCGATAGCATAGCGTTTGCCTTGCACGCAGCCGACCAGAGTTCGATTCCCAGTATCCCATAGGGCCCCCCAAGCACCGCAAGGAGTAACCCCTGCGCATCGCCGGGTATGACCCAAAACGGAAAAAAAAAAAGTTGCTTTAATCTGGTATTTCCTCTTTCCTTCGGCCTTGACAGCATGTGGCGCTGCCCAGACTCACCCTGTCTGGCACCAGCCTTCTCAGAGCTGATGTCAGCCCGAACTCACCTCCCCATCCTGCATCCGCTGTGATGTCTGCGCCCATCTGCCCTGTTTGCAGGAGAACCCCACTCATCCAAAATGCTCACTTCTGGAGGGGCTTGTGAGACCCTATGGGGTGCTGGGGACTCAGTCCAGATGAGCTGCGTGCAAGGCAAGTGCCTTTCCTGTTGTATTATCTCTCGCTTTCTTTTTTTTTGCTTTTTTGGGTTACACTCAGCGATGCTTAGGGGTTGCTCCTGGCTCTGCACTCAGGAATTACTCCTGGCGGTGCTTGGGTTCAACTCCACCCAGTATCAGATTGAACTTGGGTCGGCCACGTGCAAGGCAAACGCCCTACCCGCTGTGCTATTGCTCCAGCCCCTGTACTATCTCTCTTCAGTTCCTCTTCCCATGGAAATCTTTTTGCTTGTTTTGTGAAGCAAGTTTTTATTGAGCGAAACTTGCCTAGAGAGACGTGAGAGCTCGGGACGGGAGTGATGACATTTGCCTTGCATGTATATGGTCCACATTTGATCTCAGCATTTCACATTAGTCTCCGATTCTGCCAGGAGTGTACCCAAATGCAGAGCCAGGAGTAAGTTCTGAGCACTGCCCGGTGTAGCCCAAAAACCAATAAACAAAAAGAAGGGAAGGGAAGGGAAGGGAAGGGAAGGGAAGGGAAGGGAAGGGAAGGGAAGGGAAGGGAGGAAGGAAGGAAGGAAGGAAGGAAGGAAGGAAGGAGAGGGAGAGGTAGGGAGGAAGGAAGGAAGGAAGGAAGGAAGGAAGGAAGGAAGGAAGGAAGGAGAGGGAAAGGTAGGGAGGAAGGAAGAAAGGGAGGAAGGAAGGGAGGGAGAGAGAAAGAGAAGGAAAGAGGAGGAGAAAGAAAGAGTGGAGAAAGAGATGCGAGAGGAGAGAAAGGGCAAATATGTGTTCAAGAGAGAACTTGGGCTTCTCCAGAGTGGATAAAGCAAAGAAACAGAAAAGCAAGAGAAGTGTGTTTTCAAGGGGACCATATGGGATGCTGGGACTCGAACCCGGGTTGGCCAGCATGCAAGGCAAATACCCTACCTGCTGTATTATCGCTCCAGCCCCCCACTGTCATTTCTTGCTGCTATTTTTTTTAATCTTTGGGTCACACCCAGCAGTGCTCAGGGCTTACTCCTGGCTCTGCACTCAGGAATTATTCCTGATGAGCTTGGGAGACTATATGGGATGCCGGGGATCAAACCCAGGTCAGCTCCGTGCCAGGCAAGTGCCCTGTCTGCTGTCTGAGCACTCAGCCTTCCCATTGTCCTTTTTGACTCTGTTCTAATTCACACACTTCTCTGGCTCCTGCCCATTCTACATCCAAAACCATTCTTGTAGCACTCACTCATTTCCAGCCCCGTGTCCACCTCGCTGGCTCTGACCAACCCCTCCTGCCTGACCCACGGCTCCCTCTCATCATCTCTGCAGGGTCCACTCTGAGCTTGCAGGCCCTGAGGCAGAGGTCTGTCTCGCTCCTTCCCAAACATCCCTCAAAGACTGCCCACGGCAAACTCCTATTCATCCCGCAATACCCTAAACCCAACGCCCCCTCTTCCAAGAAAACACCTCCTCTTCCAGCAGCCCCGAGGGCCCCTGCTTCCTCTACCCCTCCCCGTTCCCAGACCATGTGCTCACCGGAGGTTGGTTTTCTGCACGGAGAAGCAGTATTCATTGATGCCAGTGGTGGGCATGCGACTTCGGAGCACGTCCTGTGCGGTAGGGACATAGCTCTCCTCAGAGATGCGGTCCAGGTGTGACAGATAGCTGTGGAGTAGAGTCCTGAGACCTGTCCTTGCTGCCCAGAGCCCCTCCCCAGGGAGAGAGAGCCCTCTGGCGGGGGTGAGGAGGGGCAACAAGGATCCAGGAGCACTGCTTTGAGAGCATCCTGGGAGCTGGGAGCAGCAGTGGATCCTCAGGGGCAGCCTCACCAGGGCTGGGCATCACCATCCACTGTCTGTCCACCAGGGACCACCAGGGACACAGTTCCCTGGAATCAATGGCACCGAGAGCAACACCCTCCCTCCCACCGCCGGTGGCCACCCCATGGCCAGTCCAGGCCCTCCTGTGCACATCCCTCCCCCGGACTGGTGGCTGGCCTGGGGACAGGCCCCTTCCCCGTGGCCGGTAAAGCCCAGACTCACTATATAGCCGAGTCCAGCAGATGGAACTCCCGCCGGCGCTCATAGCAGGCACGGACACCCGCGTCCCTCCACAGGTACTGCATGGCCACGGCGAAGCGCCTCTCGAAGCTGGTCACCTTGTAGGGGTCCTGGCTCATGACGAGGCTGGCGTGGCGCTGCGGGGGTGGGGGGCGGGGTCAGAGCAGCCGCGGAGGGGGCTCTGTCCGCTGTGCTCAGCCACAGCGGGGGCTGCAGAGGGCACCGGGCAGGTCCGATGCCAGCCGCGCCCACGGTTGTGGATCGGTGTGCATACGCCCCGCACGCGGGCACGGGGGGGAGTGTGTGTGCCCCTCTGCCTCGGTCCACGGGCGTGCTGGTCCGTGTGAGTGAGTTATGGGTTTGCGTACCAGTTGTGGGTTTGTGTGTGAATTGTGGCTTTGTGTGTGAATTGACCGTGCACGTGAATTGTGAGTTGTGCGTGAATTGTGGGTTTGTGCATGAATTGCGGGTTTGTGTGTGAACTGAGTTTGCGCGTGAAGTGTGGGTTTGCGCGTGAATTGTGGGTTTCCACATACCAAGAGTCTGGGCTTCTGGGGGACAGTGTCTATTCACGGGTGGGGGTGTATCCACACAGCAGGTGGCGCTCTGTGTGTGTGTGTGTCTGTGTGTGTGTGCACAGAAGAGTTCACTCACATGTCAGCACGCATGTGCAGGCAGCGCTGTACTCAGGCATGCACACCTGTGCCCATGCGCACACACAGAGTACACACACTTGGGCGTGTGCCATGCTCCACGCGGGCCGCTGAGTGCCCCAGGAACCGCCCATGTGCTTGTGAGCGTTTGCGTGAGCATGCCCATGAAGCCCACGTGGGCCATGAGTGTGCGTGCTCACGTGTACCAGGGGAGTGTGAGGAGTATCTGCACTCCTGAAAATCCGGCCCCCAATCCCTCCAACACCACTGACTTTTTTGGGGGGGTGACGCCCACACCTGGCCCTGGTGATGTTTGGGGCTGACTCTGGCTCTGCTCAAGGATCACTCTTGGGGATGCTCAGGGGACCCTAAAGGTCCAGGGATGGAACCCGGATCAGTCGAGTCCCAGGCCAGCGCTCCCCCCACGCCCCCCTCCCCCCGCTGTATAACGTGCTGGGGCCCGATGCCACTGACTGTTGGCAAGAGGTTGGGTGAGGGCTGGAGCGATAGCACAGAGGGGAGGGCGTTTGCCTTGCACACGGCCCACCCGGGTTCAATTCCCAGCATCCCACAAGGTGCCCCAAGCACTGTCAGGAGTAATTCCTGAATGCAGAGCCAGGGGTAACCCCTGTGCAATGCCAGGTGTGACCAAAAAAAAAAAAAAAGAGGTGTGGGTAAGCTCTGGGGCTGCAGTGGTAGGACTCATGAGGGATCCTGAATTCAATCCCTGCACTCAACAAATACCCATGGGGGCGCTGGAACCATAGCTCAGTGGGGAGGGCACTGGCTTTGCACATGACTGACCTGGGTTTGATTCCCAGCACTCCATATGGCCCCGAGAGTCAGCCAGAAGTAACCCCTGAGCACTGCTAATTGTGTCCTCCCCCACCAAAAAAAAAAAAGTTCCGGGGTCCCAGACCTGTTACCCCGGCCCCTGCACCAAGCTAGACCAGCACTAACGCTTCTCCATGGGGCAAGTAAGCGGGGTGGGAGGAATGCAGCAGGAAGAAAGTGGCCCCAAGGGGTTAGAGAGATAGCACAGAGGGCAGGGTGTTTGTTTTGCACGCGAGTGACCCAGATTCGATCCCTGGCATCCCATGGGGTCTCTTGAGCATCATCAGGTATGAGTCCTGAGCACAGAGCCGGGAGTCAGCTCTGAGCACAGGGTTGGGAGTCATCCCTGAGCACAGGGCTGGGAGTCAGCCCTTTTGGAGGTTAACTCTTCACCCGGAGGTACTCGGAGACGAGTAAACATAGTCTTTGGGTTTGTGGCCCAGCCATGCCCGCTTGCGCTCATGGGCGCCCTGTACTATCAGGTGATGGGACAGAGACCCTCGCAGACTCAGCTGACGGCCCCCAGGGGGACAATGTCCACAGAAGGCGGCTCTGTGCTATCCGCCTGCTTGGGAGTCCGGCCCTCACTCTGTGAGAAGCTGCCTTTGTATTTCAAAAGGAATTTCAAAACATGAAATTTTTTGAAAAGCACAAAAATATGATCCCAAGTTTGAAAAAATAAATGCACCCTGGACCCAGGAGAGAGTGCAAGGTGCTGGGGGCAGATCTGCAGGGGAGTGGCCCAGGTGTGAGTCCTGAGTCACACCGGGTTCCCCCCAACCCCAGCACCGCCAGGCCAGGAGTGATCTCCTGAGATCAGACAGCTCTGGCTGTGGCCCCTACACAAAAGCCAAACAACACACACACAGGTGAGCAAAACAAGCCAACATTCTTCTTCTTTTCCTTCCTCTTTTTTTTTTGTTTGTTTGTTTATTCCGGGGACCACACCTGTTGCTCACTGCTCAGCGCTGACTCCTGGCTCTGCACTCAGGGATCACTTCTGGCGGATTTGGGGGACCCTACGGCATGTCAGGTATCAACCCTAGCTCATCTGCATGCAAGGCAAGCGCCCTCCCACCCTGCGTCATTGCTATGGCCCCAGAAATTTCCAGTTCTAATGAGCACTCTGTGGTGATCGCCGGCCATTGAAATAAGACAGGAAAAAACGCAGCATCGGGGCTGGAGCAATAGCACAGTGGGGAGGGCATTTGCCTTGCACGCGGCTGACCCGGGTTCGATTCCCAGCATCTCACAGGGTCCCCCGAGCACCGCCAGGAGTAATTCCTGAGTGCAGATTCAGGAGTAACCCCTGAATCGCCAGGTGTGACCCCAAAACAAAAACAAAACAAAACAAAAAAGACAGCAGCATCTGGGAGAGTTCATTACGCTGTCACTGTCCAGGGATGGAATGTTCTATGCAGAAAATCCGGCGTTGCTTAGCAATGAAGTATGGGATAGCAGTATGGGCAGGCAATTTTAATGAGGCCCTTCATTCAAAAAGAAAGCACACTGCACCTGTGTTCGTTGCTAGCCTAATTAGTGGGCTTTGACCAACTTTCTGTTTCTTTAATTTTAATTTTATTTTATTGTTAGTTTTTTGGGTCACACCCAGAAATGCTCAGGGGTTACTCCTGGCTCTGCACTCAGGAATTACCCCTGGCGGTGCTTGGGAGACCCTATGGGATGCTGGGGATCGAACCCGGGTCAGCCGCATGCAAGGCAAATGCCCTTCCCACTGGACTATCTCTCCAGTCCATCAGTTTTCTGTTTGTTTTGGGGCCATGCCAGGCAGTGCTCAGGGAGTTCCTGGCTCTGTGCTCAGGGCTGCTCCCAGTGAGTTTAAGAAATTTTAAGGGGCCAAGAGACAGTACAGCTGGCAGGATGCTTGCCTTGCAAGCGGCTGACCCTGACTTTGATCACAAGCATCCCATATAGTTCCTCCAAGCATCTGCAGGAGTAGTAATTCCTGAGTGGGGATTCAGGGGGAGCCTTGAGCATCACCGGGTGTGACCCAAAAAAGAAAAAAAGAAAAAGAAATTTTAAATCCGGGTCTGGAGTGATTGTTTAGTGGGGAGGGCACTTGCCTTGCACACGGCTGACCCGGGTTTGATCCCCGATATCCCATACGGTTCCTTGAGCCCTGCCAGTAGTGATCCCTGAGCACAGAACCAAGGAGCACAACTGAGCACAAACAAACGAACAAACAGAACACTTGCCTTTCATGTAGCCGGCCCTGATTGGATCCCTGGCACTGCTGCCCCCAACCCGAGCGTCGCTGCCTGTGACCCCAAAGCTCCCCCCAAAGTGTCCCAGGTCACCCCCAGCTCTGTCAGCCCTCGCATGATGGCATTTGCCTGCTTGACTGAGAATCACTGGACAGAGAGCCCAACTTTCTGTGGAAAAGGGCTTAATTATTATTAATTTTTTAAAGGATTCCCTGGGGCTGAAGCAATAGCACTGCGGGTAGGGCCTTTGCCTTGCACGCGGCCAACCAGGGCTTGATTCCCAGCATCCCATATGGTCCCCTGAGCACCACCAAGGGTAATACTTCTGAGTGCATGAGCCAGGGGTAACCCCTGTGCATTGCCAGGTGTGACCTCAAAAAGCAAAAAATAAATAAATAAAATAGTCAAATGTCTAAAAAAAAAGTCCTTCCTGGGGGCTGGAGTGATAGTGCAGCAGGTAGGGCACTGGCCTTGCATGTGGCCAATCCGGGTTCGATTCCCAGCATCCCATAGGGTCCCTGAGCACCACCAGGGGTGATTCCTGAGTGCAGAGCCAGAAGTAACCCCTATGTGTCACCGGGTGTGACCCAAAAAGAAAAAAAAAAAAGGATTCTCAGGTGGGAGTGATAGTACAATAGCTAGCGCGTTTGCCTTGCATGCAGCTGACCCAGGTTCGATCTCCAGCATCCCACAGTGGGCAAGCACCTCCAGGAGTGATTCCTGAATGCAGATCCAGGAGGAACCCCTGAGCATCTCCGGGTGTGACCCATAAAGCCAAAAAAAAAAAAATTCCTAATGGCCATTTCAGGATTTCCGGATTTCTTACATGACACAAATACATGAAAAGCTGCATCGGTCCTCGTGGGTGGAGTAGTGCCCCACAGAGTCGCCCTTGGCTAGGAAGGCTGAGATCGCAGATGTGGGAGTTGATTGACAAGGGCGGAGCCACTGCAGCCTCTTCGTGGCTTGAGGAGGGCAGTGCCACCACAGCAGCCCCGTGCCTCCTGCGGGCATGTAGGCTGTGGCTGAACTGTCTAGAGGTGCCTGAGGCCCATTACACTGTGACTTACTTCCCTCCCCACTTCTAGAAGCACACACACGTCCACGGTCATGCCTGCCTGCGCCCAGCACATCACCACGTGCGTCTTGATACCACTGCTCCATCGAGATCCCCCAGGACTGCGCAGGACCCTCACCTCACTCTGCAGCCGACTGAAGGGGATGCACAGCCGCTCCCGGGCCTCGAGCAGGGCCTGCATGCACACGAAGATGTTCTGGTAGACCAGCGGCCGGAAGCCCCGGCGGTCCTCCTCTGAGTAGCCGGCGCCGTGGATGATCCGCATCTGTTTGATGAAAGTGCTCTTCCCGCTCTCGCCCGGGCCTGGGGACAGACACACACAGTTCAGCCCCAATGCTGGGACCCAGGGCGGGGACTTACACCCACACGTGTGAAGGGTTGGGGGGGCCGGGGAGAGGGTCTTTATTTTTTTTTATTAGTGAAACACCATGAGGTACAGTTGTAGATTTACAAATTTTTGTGCTTGGGTTTCAGTTATACAATGATCGAAAATGATCTTAAACCCATTCACATGCCTTGTCTCATTTCCTATTGTTGCATTTATTTATACTTATGTTTTGTGGGTTTTTTTGGGGGGGTTGTTTTGTTTTTTGGGTCACACCCAGCGATGCACAGGACAGGGGTTACTCCCAGCTCTGCACTCAGGAATTACTCCTGGCGGTGCTCGGGGGACCCTATATGGGATGCTGGGAATCGAACCCGGGTCGGTCACGTACAAGGCAAATGCCCGCCCTGCTGTGCTATCACTCTGGCCCTTGTTTTGTGTTTTGGACCACACACCTGGCGATGCTCAAGGCTGACTCCTGTGAGGCAAGCATTGTACTCACTGGATTATCTCTCCAGCCCTGATGCACTTATTTTTCATTTGGGGGACACCCACCCCCGGGCAATGCTCAGGGGTTACTCTGCACTCAGGAATCGAAACCGGGTCGGCTGCGTGTGAGGTGCGCGCCCTCCCCCATGTGCCGTGGCTCCGGCCCCATGATTTCCCATTTACTTCTCACATGGTTCCTGCTGATGGTGTTGGCCTTGTTTACAGGGCTGAGTGGATTCAAAAGTCCCTTGAGGGGCTGGAGAGATAGCACCACAGGTAGAGCGTTTGCCTTGCACGCGGCTGACCCGGGTTTGATTCCCAGCATCCCATAGGGTCCCCCAAGCACCACCAGGAGTAACTCCTGAGTGCAGAGCCAGGAGTAACCCCTGTGCATTGCCGGGTGTGACCCAAAAAAAAACGTCCCTTGAGGTCGGAGTGATAGTACAGCAAGTAGGGTGCAGCCCACCCAGGTTCAATCCCCGGCATTCCATATGGCCCTCTGAATGCCACCTGGAGTAATTCCTGAGCACAGAGCTAGGAGTCAGCCCTGAGTACAGCCAGGTGTCCCCCACCACCACCACATAAAAAGTTTTCTGGTGGGGGCTGGAGTGATAGCACAGCAGGTAGGGTGTTTGCCTTATATGTGGCTGACCCAGGTTCGATTCCCAGCATCCCATAGGATCCCCCGAGCACTGCCAGGAGTAATTCCTGAATGCAAAGCCAGGAGTAACCCCTGTGCATCACCGGGTGTGGCCCAAAAAGAAAAACAAAAAACTAAAAAAAAGGTTCTCTGGTGGACAGAGGATGAATGCATTTGCCTTGCATGTGGTAAACCTGGTTTGGACTCCCCAGCACCACATATGGTACCCCAGGAGTGGTCCCTGAGCACAGAATCAGGAGTGACCACTCCTCCCTCCGCCCCAAATAAAAGAGAGAGGGAGAAGACTCTTTGCTTACTCTCAGAAGCTGACCCAGTTCAACAAAACTGGGGACCCACTGGTTCAGTTCTTGCTGAGGCAAGGCATGCCCCCAGCCCCACCTCACCCTACGACTTCCAGGGCAGAGGAAGCTGTCGGCAAAAGCCAACAGTCTTTGCTGTCTGGCTGGCTTTTTTGGGAGAAAACGGCTGGGGAGGGGGGTGGGTTCCAAGGGAAGGCACGGAAGAGCTAGCAGACGGTCCCTGGGTCTGGTCTACTTATGGCGCTGACTGTTCTATTGTCTGCTCCTATAAGCAGGTTCCATCCTGGGCATCCCTGGGACCGCCGGGAGTAAGCCCTGAGCACCGGCGAGTGCGGCTCTGGCCCGCAAACCAACACATAAGTAATCTCAGGCAGAGAAAACTTGACCCTGCTAGAGTCATTTTCTTGGCTTCTTCTTCTCTTCCTTCTCCTTCTCCTTCTTCTCATTCTTCTTCTTCTCCTTCTTCTTCTTCTTCTTCTTCTTCTTCTTCTTCTTCTTCTTCTTCTTCTTCTTCTTCTTCTTCTCCTCCTTCTCCTCCTCCTCCTCCTCCTCCTCCTCCTCCTCCTCCTCCACCTCCTCCTCCACCTCCTCCACCTTCTCCTCCCTGGTAGAGTCATTTTTTAAAATTATTTCTTCTTCTTCTCCTTCTCCTTCTTCTTCTTCTCCTTCTTCTCATTCTTCTCCTTCTTCTTCTCCTCCTCCTCTACCTCCTCCTCCTCCTCCTCCTCCTCCTCCTCTTCCTCCTCCTCCTCCACCTCCTCTCCTCCTCCTCCTCCTCCACCTTCTCCTCCCTGGTAGAGTCATTTTTTAAAATTATTTCTTCTTCTCCTTCTTCTCCTTTTCCTTCTCCTCCTCCTCCTCCTCCTTCTCATCCTCCTCCTTCTCCTACTCCTCCTTCTCCTACTCCTCTCCTCCTCCTCTCCTGCTCTGTGCTCAGAATGACTCCTGGTGGTGCTCAGGGGACCTCTATGGGATGCCGGGGATCGAACCCGGGTCGTCAGTGTGCAAGGCAAATGCCCGCCCCACTGGACTATCGCTCCAGCACGCCAGAGACATTTTCAGGAAGGAAATAGAAACGTGTTCAGGAGAGGACTGTAGCTCACGGTTGTGTGATGGAAGCCTTGGGTTGGCTGGGAAGGCACCTCTGATGCCAGGATGAGGAGAAGCGACATATGGGGGCAGGGGAAGGCCGTGCAAAGGCCCTGGGGTAGCAGTAGTGTGAAAGGGAGGCCTTTAAGAGCTGCTGCAAAGGATGGACGGGGAGAGGAGGGAGGTGCTCAGGGCCTGGCCACTAGGGACTTTGTGCCCAGCCCCCAGGTGGGCCTGTAGGGGAATAGGGGGCGGGGTGGGGGTGACCTGGGGGAGGCTGGCTCCGAGCTCACGAGCGCCCCCTAGTGGCCGCGGTCAGAAGACAGCCTGCCCCTCCCCCCTGCAGAACTTTCCGCGGCCCGGGGCGAGGCTCCCTCCCAGGGACACGAGGGTTCAGGGGCCAGAAGGAACTGGAACACGAAAAAACGGGAAGGTCCGTCCCGAGGCGGCTTCGAAAGAAGAAATGGGAGGGGAGGAGGGGAGGCTGTGGGGGGCGGGGAGAAAGGGGGTTCGGCCTGCATGCCCCACCAGGGGCCCCCTGGAGTCCCCGACCCTGCCCATCCCGCTGTACTCCCAAGGATAGCAGCTGGGGGTGGGGAGCAGGAGAGGTGGGGGGGGGGGGGAAGGAGACGCGAAGGGGCACAGATCACTGCTCGGCTTTCTTTTTTGGGGGGGGGGGGGTCACACCCGGCCATGCACAGGGGTTACTCCTGGCTCTGCACTCAGGAATCACTCCTGGTGGTGCTCAGGGGACCCTATGGGATGCTGGGACTCGAACCCGGGTCAGCCGCTTACAAGGCAAACGGCCTCCCCGCTGTGCTATCGCTCCCGCCCCTGTGATGCTTTTTCTAAGGATGTACGAAGCTGGAGAGCACGCTCCATGGGGGAAACTGAGGCACATGCCAGGAACCTTCTAATTTTTTTTTTCGTTCACACCTGGCGATACTCAGGGCTGACTCCTGGTTCTGTTTTCAGGGATCACTGCTGGAGAGGCTCGCTGTCGGCACCTACTGGGTGCCAGGGATCGAGCCCAGGTTGAAGGGTGTGCAAGGTAAACGCCCTCCCCACTGCCTTATGGTCCCAGAACCAGCTCATGCTGATGTCAGACAACAGTTTGATTGATTTCCTCTACTGTTGCATGAAAACAAATCCTGGTGTCCACCCTGAAGGTGGAGGCAATGTGCGTGGATCCTTCTTGGCCCATTGTCGGGAAGAATTCCACAGCTGCAACCCTTTATGTTATTCTATTTTGATGTTATTCTATTTTGGGAAACACACCTGACAAGTGCTCAGGGCTGACTCCTGGCTCAGTGCTCAGGCCTCATTCCTGGCTCAGTGCCAAGGCTCACTCCTGGAGGGCCTCTGAAGACCCTGTAGGATGCTGGGGATTGAAACCAGGTTGGTCACATGCAAAGCAAACGCCCTCCTCAGTGTACGATCACTCTAGACCCTCTCTTTTTCCCCATTTTTATTTTGTTTTGGGCTGACTCCTGGCTCACGCCTAGCAGAGCTCAGGAGACCTTCTAGAGTCCTGGGGATTGAACCTGGGTTGGCTGTGGGCTTGGCAAATGCTCTCCCTGCTGTCCTATCGGAGACCACCTTTTTTTGTATTTAAAACGCTTTCTTGGCGTCGGAGCAATCGTACAGTGTGTAGGGTGTTTGCCTTGCACGCGGCCGACCCGGGTTCAATCCCCAGCATTCCATAGGGTCCCCTGAGCACCGCCAGGAGTAATTCCTGAGTGCATGAGCCAGGAGGAACCCCTGTGCATCGCTGAGTGTGACCCCATAAAAAAGCAAAAAAAGGGGCTGGAGCGACAGTACAGCGGGTAGGGCATTTACCTTGCACGCGGCGGACCCGGGTTCGATTGCCAGCATCCCATTGCCCCCGAGCACCGCCAGGAGTAATTCCTGAGTGCAGAGCCAGGAGTAACCCCTGTGCATCGCTGGATGTGACCCCAAATAAAAAAGCAAAAAAAAAAAATCCTCCCTCGTCCAGCTGGAGGGGGCGGAAGGGGAGAGGCAGGGAGCGGGGCGCGGGACCCTCGTACCCCGGCGGGGAGCGGCAGGCGGGGAGGCGGGCGCGCCCCGCGCCTCATTCCTTTCCCCTGACGCCCGGCGGGGAGCCGGTCGGGCGGGCTGGGCCGGGCGGGCTGGGCGCTCGGGGCCGGGAGGGGGAGCGGGCCAACTCCCCGCGCCCCTGCGAACCCGCCCGTCCTCGCTCCGCTTTGGACGGACGGGGGTCCCGCGGGCCGGGGAGGGGGTGCAGGCGCGCGACCCCCCTCCACTCACCCAGCAGCAGGAGCTTGAGCTCGCCTCGCTCGCGTCGCTTCTGCTCCAGCAGCTGCCGGCTGATCTCCTGGTCCAGGCGCGCCGCCGCCTTCTCGTCGTCCGTCAGGCACCAGGGGCAGCAGCGCCAGGCCAGCGAGCGGGCCATGGTCCAGTCACGGGGCGCCCGGCGGCATCGTCCCCCCCCCCGCCGCGGCCCCCGGGGCTGGCCCGGCTCCCCACCCCCCCACCCCCCGACGCGCGGGGCCCGGGAAGGCGCACACGTCGGACCCGCGCGCTCCAGCGCCGCCGCCGCCGCCGCCGCCGCCGCCTTCCTCCTCCTCCCCCGGGGACGCGCGGGGGACCCGCCCCGGCCGCGCCCGCCTACGGGCCGCCGGGATGCGGAGCTGGCCCCGGGCAGGTGCGCCCCGGCTGCGATCGGACCCCAGAGCAGAGGAGGAAACTGAGGCACGGGGCCGGGGGTGGGGATGGGGATGGGGGGCGAGGCGCACGGGGAGCGCGGTCCGCGCGCTCCAGGCGGGGAAGGAAAAGCGGTTTTAATAAATTGAGGGGTTTTCCCAGCCGGCCCTGAGCACCGCTGGGGGTGGCCCCAAACACCCCCGAACTTTTTTTTTTGGGAATTAAAAACATTAAAATAGGAGGCTGGAGGAAGAGCGCAGCGGGGAGGGCGTTTGCCTTGCACGCGCGGCCGACCCGAGCACCGCCAGGAGTAATTCCTGAGTGCATGAGCCAAGAGGAACCCCTGAGCATCGCCGGGTGTGACCCCCCCCCCAAAAAAAATTAAAATTAAGTTAAGGACCCGAGCGGTGGTGCAGAGCGCGCAAGGGGAACGTTTGCCTTGCTCGGGGCCCACTCGGGTTCCATCCCTGCCATCCAGGAGGGTCCCCTCATCCCTGATGCCCTTGGGGAGGGACCCTGAGCACCTGTCGGGGGTGGGCCCTGAAACGAACAGAGCAAAATTATTTTCTTTAAAGGAGCTGAGAGAGAGAGGGGGGGGGCGCGCGAGGGGAGGGCGCAGTGGGCCTGGGGTTGATCTGCAGCACCCCATATAGTCTGGGAGCCCCACCGGGTGTGGCCCAAAACCCAGCAGAAAATTAAGTAAATAAGTGCAATTAATTAAGAAAATTAAGTGCAGGGCGTAAGGTGGGGAGTTGGGAAGGAGGCCGGAGGGAGGAAAAATGTTGGGGTGCGGTGGTGGATTTGGGGAGGGGGCTTCAAGGAAAGGTAGCCTGAGACATGCCATCCAGGAGGCAGAAGGGGGGCCTGTGGGTGGGGAGACACCGTCAGTCAAGGGCCCTTGAGCCCCGAGGCGCCCCCAGGCCTTCCGGAGGGGGATTGATTGCTCTGCAGTTTCTTCGAGGTGCTGGTGAAGTTCCCGGCACCCTAAAAATTCCTGGCATTCTGAGGGAAATACCTGCTTCTCCCCCACAGTCTGCCAGGCCATAGAAGGTTCTGGAAGGCTGAATGCCCTCTATCCTGGGGCTCTGGTGTGTGTGTGTGTGTGTGTGTGTGTGTGTGTGTGTGTGTGTGTGTGTGTGTATGTGCGCGCGCGCGCGCGGTGCACGGGTGCACGTTCCCGCGTGTTAGGGATCCCCCAGGCCGCCGTGGTGGCGCACAGTGCCGGGGCGCCCCTCCCCCAGCTCAGCCCCTGCCGTTCCTTGCGGTTTTTCAGGGCTGTTGATTCATAATGGGAAGTGTGGAGGGCCCCCAACCCCAGCCGCTGACAGGGAGTTATTACAGACCCTGCTCGCCCCGGGGACTCTCCTGCCTCCAAACCGGAGGTTCTAAGCAGGAGGGGACCCTGAGGCACAAGAACCGGGGTGGGGTGGGTCTTTCCCCAGGTCAGGTGAAGAAAAGCAGAAATTAGCACCGGCCATGCCCCCATGCCGGGCAGGAGGGTCCCTCCGGGAGAGAGCACCACTGGGCAAGCCGGGGAGGCGGCTGCAGGGTTTGTGGGGGCTCCTGCCGGCTCTGGACGTCCCCCTCCTGCCCTCCTGGTACCCCCCCTTTTCACACAGATCTGCCTTCTATCTAGTTCCCCAAAATAGGGCCTCTGCTTCCTGACATGTGCCAACACGCCTGACAGATGAGTTCATGGGGGAAATGAGAGAGAGAGAGAGAGAGAGAGAGAGAGAGGAAGAAAGTAGAGAAAGGGTGGGAAAGGAAGGAGAGATAGAAAGAAAAGAAAGGAAGAGAAAAAGAGAGAAAGAAAGTAAACAGGAGGAAGAAAAGAGGGAGAGACAGGAAGAGAAAAGAGAAAGAAAAACAGGGAAAGCAAAGAAGGAAGGAAGAGAAGAAAGAAAAGAGAGGAAGAAGAAAAAGAAAATAAAGAGGAAGGGAGGAAAGAGAAAGAAAGAGAGAAAGAAAGGATAGAAAGAAAGAAAGAAAGAAAGGGAGGGAAAGAGAGGAAGAAAGGAAGAAGGGAAGGAAGGAAGGAAGGAAGGAAGGAAGGAAGGAAGGAAGGAGGAAGTGGCTGTGCATGGGTGCTGGGGTGCAGGTCAGACCCTAGACACCCTGGGGTCCCCAGGGCACTATAAGAGAGACCCCTGAGCACCTTCGTGTGCTTTCCCCAAGCCAAAGGAGAACAGGAGGTGCTCTCATGCAGGAAGCACTGTTTGATCCCAGCACCCTTGGGTCGAGAGCATTGAGACAAGAGTAGTAACATCTCTGAGTAGTAAGGCATGACTCCAACCCCCAATAACTGCTTTGAAATCCAGGGGCTGGAGCGATAGCACAGCGGGTAGGGTGTTTGCCTTGCACGCGACGGACCCGGGTTTGATTCCCAGCATCCCATAGGGTCCCAGGAGTAATTCTTGAGTGCAGAGCCAGGAGTAACCCCTGAGCATCGCCGGGTGTGACCCAAAAAGCAAAAGCAAAAAAAAAAAAAACTGCTTTGAAATCCAGAGACACAGACAGACAGAAATTATTGGGGGGGTACACCTGGTGAAATTATTGGGAGGGTACATCTGGTGTTCAGGGGACAATACATGCAGGAGATGGACCCCGGGTCTCTTGCATGCAAGCCCCCGTGCAGAAAGGGACACCCCAACCCTGGTCAGGGCTGGCTCCCGGCTCTGTGCTCAGGGATGACTCCTGGCTCTGTGCTCAGACCTGACTCCTGGCTCTGTGCTCAGGGTTCACTCCTGGCTCTGTGCTCAGGGCTGACTCCTGGCTCTGTGCTCAGGGTTGACTCCTGGCTCTGTGCTCAGGGCTGACTCCTGGCTCTGTGCTCAGGGTTGACTCCTGGCTCTGTGCTCAGGGCTCGCTCCTGGCAGGACTTCGGGGGCCACACGCCGTGCTGGAGATGGAACCTGGGTCGGCCACACGCCAAGGTGAGCACTTACCCCCCTGCACAACTCTCTGACCCTGGCACCGCACCTTTGGACTGACATCAGGAGCACACACGTGTCTTTCCAGACGCAACTCAGCCTGAGCTCTAAGGCCCAGTCACTCTCCAAACACCACCTGGAGCTCAGAGCCCTGCTGGCTTGAGTTTTAGGCACGGGTGGGAGGTGGAGAGGTGGTTTGGGGTGTCCGCAGGACCCAGCTATGGGGTCTCCTAGGTCTGCAGGGGGGGTTATTATTTTTTATTTAATTTTTAAAAATGGAATCACCCTTGGCCGGAGCGATAGCACAGTGGGTAGGGTGTTTGCCTTGCACGCGGCCGACCTGGGTTCGATCCTCGGCATCCCATAGAGTCTCCCAAGCACCATCAGGAGTAATTCCTGAGTGCAGAGCCAGGAATAACCCCTGAGCATCGCTGGGTGTGATCCAAAAAGCAAAAAAAAAAAAAAAATGGAATCACCCTGAGATACACACTTACAAGGAGGTTGTTCATAACTGGGTTTCAGTCACACAATGCGCCAACACCCGTCCCTCCACCAGCGCACATTTCCTACCACCAGTGTCCCCGTTTATGTTCCTCATCCCACCCCGTCCTGCCTCTGTGACAGGTACTTCTCTGTCTCTGTCTCTCTGTTTCTGCCTTTCTGTCTCTCTCTGTCTTTGTCCCCCACCCCCACCCCCCACTCTCTCTCGGCCATTATGGTTTGCAATACAAGCACGGAGAGGTTATCATGTTTGTTCCTTTTCATACTTTCAGCACTCAGTTCTTTTTTTCTTTTCTTTTTTTTCTTTTTGAATACTCTCGGTAGCTTGCCGAGCTCTCCGTGAGAGGGGCGGAGGAATCGAACTCGGGTTGGCCATGTTGGCCGCTTGTAAGGCAGACGCCCTACCCGCTGTGCTATCGCTCCAGCCCAGCGGGTAGGGCGTTCGCCTTACACGCGGCCAACATGGCCGACCCGAGTTCGATTCCTCCGCCCCTCTCGGAGAGCCCGGCAAGCTACCGAGAGTATTCGATATGCCAGACACAGTAACAACAAAGTCTCCAATGGAGACGTTACTGGGCCCGCTCGAGCAAATCGACGATCAACGGGAGGGACTTTACCTTTACCTTTACCTTTTTTTCTTTTGTTTTGGGAGTCACATCCGGCGATGCTCAGGGTTACTCCTGGCTCTGCACTCAGGAATCACTCCTGGCGGTGCTCCAGGGACCATATGGGATGCTGGGAATCGAACCAAGGTCAGCCACGTGAAAGGCAAACACCCTACCCGCTGTGCTATCGCTCCAGCCCCTCTGTCTCTCATTTTTTGGTCACACACCCGGTGATGCTTAGGGGTTACTCCTGGCTCATGCACTCAGGAATTACTCCTGGTGGTGCTCAGGGGACCATATGGGATGCTGGGAATCGAACCCAGGTCGGCTGCGTGCAAGGCAAATGCCCTACCACTGTGCTATCGCTCCAGTCCCCAGCACACAGTTCTTGTCCAGAGTGATCATGGTCACGATCACGATCATCCTGTTGTTCGTCGATTGCCTCGGGCAGGCACCAGTTAACGTCTCCTTCTTCCTATCCCTGAGATTTTAAAAAATGCCATATTCAAGGCTCTTTCAGGTATTTGGGATATTGGGTATACCACGGGGAGTTTGCTAGACTCTGCCGTGTGGGCAGTTACATTCGGTAGCCTGCCAGGTTGTCCAAAGTAAGAATGAGATAATAAGATGTCGCGTGGCCACAAATGCGGCCGCGCGCTTCTGGGAGCTGGGTTTTAGAAACTATAAAACCAGAGACTATAAAACCCAGAGTGACCCTTTCTAATTATTGTTGCCATTGTGGTCCCTCCTCTATCCTAGCTGCCCTCTCCCCACACCACACTTGTGACAGGCTTCCAACCATAGACCAGTCCTCCTGGCCCTTATTTCTACTGTCCTTGGGTCTTAGTCCCATACAATTCTTTTTGGCATATCCCACAAATAAGTGTGATCGATCTATATTTGTCCCCCTCCCTCTGACCCAGGTCACTCAGCAGGGTGTTCCATGTTGTGAGATGAGTGGAATATTTTGAATTGGTCGATCAAGGAAAGGAGAAAACCAGCCTGACGTGGATGGGCCTCCTCTAATCAGTTGATGGGTGGGGGGGTTCAGTATGGTCCAGGCGGTGGGGTCCAACTGGGGGTTAAGTCTCCCCTCACTCCCTTCCACCTGCTTCTCCGCATTCCTTTCTGCTGCGCATGTGGGTCATGCGGAGGGGGGACACACTGCCCATCCTCAGGTACAATGACCCTCTACCACTGGTCAGTGGTTGGATCTAACCACCAGTGTGTGGGGGGCCAAGGGTAGGTAAGAGAGAGAAGAGACCACTATGACAATAATAGCTGGGAATGGTCACGCTGGACAATAGCTGAGGGTTGGGGGTTTGGAGCAACAGCACAGGGGGTAGGGCATTTGCCTTGCACACAGCCGACCCGGGTTCGGTTCCCAGCATCCCATAGGGTCCCCTGAGCACCACCAGGGGTAATTCCTGAGTGCAGAACCAGGAGTAACCCCTGAGCATCGCCGGGTGTTACCCCCCCCAAAAATTTAAGAGCTGAGGGTTGGGGCTGGAGCGATAGCACAGCGGGTAGGGCATTTGCCTTGCACATGGCCAACCCGGGTTAGATTCCCAGCATCCCATAGGGTCCCCCGAGCACCACCAGGAGTAATTCCTGAGTGCATGAGCCAGGAGTAACCCTGTGCAACTCCGGGGTTAAAATTTAAAAAAAAAATCTGAGGGTTAAAACTAAAAGGTAAAAGGTAAAGGCCCTCCCGTTGATCGTCGATTTGCTCGAGCGGGCCCAGTAACGTCTCCATTGGAGACTTTGTTGTTACTGTGTTTGGCATATCGAATACTCTCGGTAGCTTGCCGGGCTCTCTGAGAGGGGCGGAGGAATCGAACTCGGGTCGGCCATGTTGGCCGCTTGTAAGGCGAACGCCCTACCCGCTGTGCTAACTAGGGAAAGGATATTCCTGATAACTTTTCAGTACCAATATTGCAAACCACAATGCCCAAAGGAGAGAGAAGAAAAGCACCTGTCATTGAGGCAGGCAGGGGTGGGGGGTGATGGGACGGAACGGGGGGGATACTGGTACTGGGAAATGTGCACTGGTGGATGGATGGGTGTTGGAACACTGTATGACTGAAATCCAATCATAAACAGCTTTGTAAGGGTCTATCTCACAGTGATTCATTACAATTAAAAAAAAAATGACTCTCTCCCTGGGGTTTCTCCACCACCAAATGGAACTGCCTGAAAACTCAGGGGCAGGGGTGGGCCATCCCTAAACAGGTGAGCACATGCAGTGTGTGAGGCCCCAAGGTTCGATCCCCACAACCACAGGTGGGGGTCTGGTGCCGCCTGATAGTCCCTGTTCAAAACAAAACCAAACCAAACTGGGGCCAGAGCGATATGTCCAGCGGGGAGGGCGCTGGCCTTGCACACGGGTTTGATCCCCAACAAACCACAGGGTCCCCCAAGCACCGCCAGGAGTGATCCTGAGTGCAGAGCCAGGAGCCAAATGCGCCACCAGGTGGGGCCCCAAAACCAAAACCAAAACCAACCACCACCAACAGAAAAACAACTAAACCAAGTCAAACCTCTAGTGGGGGCTTGGTTTGGGCCACGGGACGCTCAGCGGCTACTCGGGCTCCGTGCTCAGGCGCGCCCCCTGGCGGTGCTTGGAGGGTCAAACCCGAGTGGGCTGCGGACAGCACCTTAACCCCTCTACTGCCAGGCCCTTCTTTAATTTTTTTCTTTCTTTTTTCTTCTCGGGTTGGTTTTTGGTCCACACCTGGCAGTACTCGGGGCTTATTCCTGGCTCTGTGCTCATGGGTCCCGCCTGTGGGAACCGAGGGAGCCCTCCTTGCTCTACTATTGATATTTTTGGGGGGTAGAGGAACCACACCCAGCTGAGCCCGGGGTTCCTCGGCCCTGGGGGGGTGACTCCTAGCATAAGGGGCCGCTAGGCAGACAGTTCTGGGGATCCTGCATCCTCCCGGGCCCTTCCTGCTTTCTCAAAAGTTTTCATATTTTCCCTGTCTCTTCTTTCTTTCTTTCTTTCTTTCTTTCTTTCTTTCTTTCTTTTTCTTTTTCGGACACACGCAGAGACGCACACAGGTTACTCCTGGTTCTGCACTCAGGAATTACTCCTGGCGGTGCTCGGGGGACCATATGGGATGCTGGGAATCAAACCCAGGTCAGCCACGTGCAAGGCAAACGCCCTACCCGCTGTGCTATCACTTCAGCCCCTCCCTGCCTCTTTTTTGTTGTTGTTGTTGCTGCAGCTGCTGCGACCCTGAGGGGCTGCAGGTTGGCCACACCGGCAGTGCTCAGGAGTGACTCCTGGCTCTGTGCTCAGGGCTCACTCCTGACTCTACTCAGAAGCCCCTCCTGGCCAGGTTCTTCCCACAATATCCCTCCACACACCTTTTTTAAAAAATTATCTATTTATTTATTTTTTGCTTTTTGGGTCACATCCAGGGTTACTCCTGGCTCTGCACTCAGGACTCCTGGCGGTGCTCGGGGAATCTTATGGGATGCTGGGAATCGAACCCAGGTCGGCCGCGTGCAAGTCAAACGTCCTACCTGCTGTGCTACAGCCCCCACACAGCTTTTTTTTTTTTAAAAAAAGAAGCAAAATAGCTTTTGTTTTTTTGGGGGGGCTTACACCTGGCAGGGCTCAGGGTTGACTCCTGTCCCTACTCTCAGGGACTACTCCTGGCGGGGCTCTGGGCACCCTCTGAGGTGCCGGGGATTGAAACTGGGTCAGCTGCACGCAAGGCGAAGGCCCTCCCCGCGGTCCCATTGGCTGCATCCCCCCAATCTGCGTTTTAAAGGCACCAGATTCTTGGCGGCGGGGAGGGCGACCCTGTGGCGACATGATCTGAACGGCATGGTTCGGGTAGGTGTCCAGGTTGGGGATGCGCCCTCCTGACCGCAGGACAAGCCCACTGACCTGTCAGTGTTGACCAGGTACTGATCCGATCCAGAGCCGCCGGAGCGCACCTGGCAGGACGCACGAGCGAGAGGCGCCACCTGCCGGCCGCGGGCGGCACGACGTCCAGGCGCATGGGAAACCTGGGCTCGGCCCGCCACACCCGGTCCGGTTCCATCTCGGACTCCTGGGCCCAGCTTCCGCGCCGTCCTCGCCCCGCCTGCACCTGTGAGGGGCTGCACCCTGCTCCCCCGGCTCCTGCCACCCGGTCGTCTCCATCATTGCTCGCGGGCGCGCCTAGGTCCCCATGTCCAGGCGTGTCCAGGCGCGTCCGCTGCAGGCGGCCACCAGAGGGCGCGCGTGAGCTCGTGCTCTGCTCCCAGCCCGGGCCTGCAGGACCCGCCCAGCCTCGCCCCTGCCCTGCCCCGTCACCCGCCCTCGCCCCACCTCCTGCTTTCCTGCTGGAGGTCTTCCTCCAAGTCGGGGACTCTGGGCGCAAGGCCCTAGGGGCCTGCCCCACCGCCCAGCCCCACGGACAAAGCTCCCCAGGAGGCGGCTACGGCAGGTGGGCGGGGAAGTGGGGAGGCCCCGCCTGCCCCCTCCCCTGCTTCTGGGTCTGCCCCCACGGGATGCTGAAATGGGGGCTCTTCAGTGGGGGCAAAAGGTGGGTGCCGGGCTGGAGCCATAGGACAGCAGAAGGACGCTGGCCGTGCGCGTGACCAACCCGGATTTGATCCCACGCACCCCCAAAGACCAGGCGTCAGCCCCCGGCACTGCCAGGTGTGGCCCCCAAACAAATCAGAGACGCACATGGAAAGGGCAAGCGCTTGACTCAGCCCAACTGGGTCACCCCCGCGGGGCCGATCTGGGAGGCCGGAGCCAGACACACAAGGACATATCCTGGGGTGCCCAGGAGGGGAGGTATGCTAGAGAGGGGGGGTGGCTGAGGAGGGCCCCAGTTCCCGAGGTGGGAAGAGAACTTTCTGGAAGCTTGGACCAGGTTGGGAGGGCCAGTTTTGCGTTGTCCAGGGTCAAAGAGAAGGAAAAGCATTGGCTCAGGGACTGACCCGCTGGCCCCAGAAGAGGGGTGTTCCTCCACCCCCCCATTTTTCCCCGCCCAGAACATTCCAGCCTGCTCTGGAAACTAGGCCCAGGTGAGGCCACTCGGAGCAGGCCCCTGGGGGCCACAGCCCTGGGCAAGCGGTGCTGGGGTTCCCAGCAGCCACGGGGCACCAGGCGACCCCCCCCCCAGCCCACTCTGATTCCTCCCAGCTCCCCCTGTGCCCGCCCAGGGAATAAGCCAGAACAGGGTTTAGGAACAAAATTTATTCCAATTTAAAACAATTCATTTCAAGGAGAAATATATGAAAAAATTGATTTTTGTAGTGTCTCTGGATTAGGGGGTCAGAGCCCCGACCGGCGCGGAGGGGGACGCAGCTGGGCCCCCTGGGGTGGCCTCGGCCCCGCCATCACGCGCGCGTGACCAGACATGCATTTCAAAGGAGAGAAAAGATTTTAAAAAGAGCATTTTTGTTTTTTATAGAAGTCTTTTAAATACTTTAAGGATCATGAAATCAGTCTGGAACACAGCGCGGTGTCATTGTACAAGGGGCGGGGCCTGCTGTAGCCCCGCCCACTCCCTGCCAAGCAGGGGTGAAGGATGGGGGCGGCCTTGGCACTAGCAGAGCCCCGGGCAGGGGCGCAGTGACACTGGGGTGCAGGTGGGGCGGAGGTGGCACTCCCCCCCCCCCCCGCTTTGGGTGAAAAATGGAATTTTGTACATGCGGTTGGAGGGTGGGGTTGCGGAGGCCAAGCCCCCCCATGACGACTCCGACCCGGGGAACCCCGAGGGGCACTGGCACAGGTGTCCGGCGACCACAGGGCCTGGCGGGCCGGGCCTTGGCACGCGCTCCTGGGAAGTTAATACTGCGGGCGCCCCACCCCCGCGCGCAGGCGCCAACGCCTGTCTCCTGGTGGACTGGGGCGGGGGACCCCCAGGTGCCCTCAGTGGGGGACGCTTTGGCGCGTGGCACGCGGGCTCCCAAGGGGGACACATGGCACAGTCGGGGGCCTTCCAAGGGACCCCAGGGAAGCTGGGGAGATGGGGGGCCTCGGGGCGGGGGGGGGGGTGCGGGGGTGTCAACGCTGGCCCCGAGGGTCGCTTTCATGTTCCCCGCCTTTCCTCTGCATCTGTTGGCGGGGGTGGGGGGCTACCCCGGGGGCTGGGGGTTCCGCTGCGTTCGCGCAAAGGAACAGCACCCTGAGCCCCACGGCGCCCCGAAACACTGTAGTGCGTCTATACTTGTAGTGTGGCTCCATCCGGCCGTCGCCGGGTCCCGGACTGCGGGGGGCAAAGTGCGGGTGCATGCGCCGTGCTAGGGGGGGTGGGGGGTGAGGGATGGGCACCCTGTGCGCGGGAACCCGCCTGCACCGGGGACCTCTTCCTCACATCACCCCCCCGCCCCCGGGAGACAAACCTGAGAATATTCTGCCACGGCCCCCCAAATTGGTCACAGAAACAAGCAGAGGCGCGGCCCCAGGCTCGGGGCTCCGTTGGCCTTCTCGGTCCCCCGGGGGGTCATGCCGAGGGGGGCGGGCGCCGTCCCCAGGGGCCCCCCAGCCCAGCGCCGAGCTGGCCAGCCGTGGCCCCCGAGCACTGTGCCTGAGGGGTGGGAGTCGGGCACGGCAGGAGAGGGGCGGTGGGGGGAGGGCGAGGCCGCGGGGTGGGGGGGGGGCGCCGACTGGGGGAGGGAGAATTTCTCGGATCTTTTTTCCTCAAAAGAAAAAAATAGTTAGGCACTTCCCGGGGCGGGCAGCGGGGCGCCCCCCACCTGCGCTTCTTGGAGTCCGTGAACAAACCGCGGTGTGATCGCCAATAACTTAAAAAAAAAAACAGGCCCAACATCCCAGTCCGGGCCGGCGGGGCGCAGGCCTCTCCCCTCCTCCCCTCCTCCTCCTCCTCCTCCTCGCTGATTTTTTTTTCCTTTTTGTTTTGTAGAAAAGCGGCGGCGCGTGGCGTCACACCAGGTTGTACTCCTTGAGGTTGAGCTGCAGGATGGTGTCCTTCACGGCCGCGAACACGAAGCGGATGTTCTCCGTGTCGGTGGCGCAGGTGAAGTGCGAGTAGATGATCTTGTCGCTGTCGGGGTTCAGGTCCACGAACATCTTCAGGATGAACTCGCGGGCGGCCTGCGCGTCCCGTTGGGGCCCTGCGAGGGGAGGGCGGGGTGATGGGGGGCCCCTGCCCAGGGCACGCATGCAAGCGCCCCCCCCCCAGGCCAGGACACCCCCGTTGGCCCCCCGAGCCGGGCCCCGGCACGCCCCGCCCCCACGTGTACACACACACACACACACACACACACACACACACACACACAGGCACGGACCACACACGTGCACCCGCCGCATACATGCATGCATTGCATGCATGCAACACATGCCCACACACATGCAGAGCCATGCGCCTTGCTTACGCCACACCCCCCACACACACGGCCCCCCACGCAAAGAGCACACGCCAGCTACACCACTGTGCATGCACATGTGACACGCCCCACGCCCGCAGTTCCGCACACGCCCGTCACTCACCGTCGAACTCGGGGAAGTAGTCGACCAGGTGCGAGTGCAGCACCTTGTCCTCCAGCAGGTCCTTCTTGTTGAGGAAGAGGATAACGGAGGAGTTGTGGAACCAGGGGTAGGTGATGATGGTGCGAAACAGCGCCTTGCTCTCCTCCATGCGGTTCTGCGGGTGCGGGAGGCAGCGCTGGGGTGCCGCGGGGGGGCCTGATGGGCAGCCCCCCCAAGCCGGGCAGGACGCTGCCCTGACCCCACCCACTGACCCCACCCCTCCCCCGCCCACACTGACCCCCACACCCTCCCGCACTCCCTCCCTCCCTGACTCGCGCCCTCAGGGACCGACCCTGTTCTGACCCCGCCCCACAGACCATATTCTGTCCTGACCCCGCCCACTGACACCACCCCTCCCCCGCCCACACTGACCCCGCCCCCACGGACCATATACCCTGCCCTGACCCCATCCCTGCCCACACTGACCCCCACCCCTTCTCGCACTCACCCCCTCCCACCCTGACAACCGCCCACAAGGACCATACCCCGCCCTGACCCCGCCCACACGGACCCCCCACCCTGACGTTGACCCCCCCCCATACCAACCCCTCGGGCCAGCACCGACCCAGCTCCCGCACTGACCCCCATCTGCACTGACCTCATTGTCCGACTCCACCAGCACCTGATCGTACTCGCTGAGGGCCACGAGGAACATAATAGACGTGACGTTCTCGAAGCAGTGGATCCACTTCCGGCGCTCCGAGCGCTGCCCCCCGACGTCCACCATCCTGCAGGTGGGAGGCAGGGCTCAGGGGCCGCCGCGCTGACCCCCACCCCGATGGTCTCCGGGCGTGGCGCCGAGCCCCGCGCGGGCGCCCCCTGCCGGCCCACCTGAAGATGATGTTCTCCAGGTCGAAGGGGTACTCGATGATGCCCGTGGTGGGCACACGCACCCGCAGCACGTCCTGCTGGGTGGGCAGGTAACCCGAGGTGGCGATGCGGTCCACGTCCGTCAGGTAGCTGCGGGGGACGGCAGGGCACGGTCAGGGTGGGGCGCGGCAGACAGGGTCGGGTCAGGGTGGGGGCGGGGCCGCACTCACTACTTGGCCGAGTCCGAGAGCTGGTACTCGCGGCGCCGGTCGTAGCACTCCTGGATGCCCGGGTCGCTCCACAGCGTCTTGATGGCCGCCACGTAGCGCTGATCGAACGTCGTCACCTTCTCCACGTCCACCTCGCGGATCAGCAGCGCATTGGCCTGCAGGCGGGCGGCCCCCAACAGCGGCTCTCAGGACCCGGCCGGGCCCCGATGCCCCCCACTCCAGACACAGCCTCCCACTGCCGGGCCGGGCCCGGGCAACCGTGGGCCCGGGACAGAGGCACCCGGATCTGCCCAGAGCTGGGTCCTCCCACCCCACACAGCACACCCGTGGTCACACCCACACAAGCACACACCTCCACACGCGCGTGCCCCGTGACATGGGGCGCCCATGTGTGCACACACAGCCCCCAAGCCTCCGGACGGGGTGCCAGCGGGGCCCACGGGGAGGGTGCACCTGGAGGCCTTGGCCCCCACCTGGATGAGTGGGCGTGGCCCGGCCTCCAGTAGCCATGCTGTCCCTCGCCCGGCGCGGGCTGGGCGATGCCCGGCTGCAGGGAAGAGGCTCCCGCAGGCGCTTCCCCCGCAGCCAATGCCATCCCAACGCAGGTCAGCTGCGCTCTGGGGGCCACAGGAGGGCAACCCCAAGGGGAGGCGGAGCACAGATCCCCGCGCCAAGTGCCAGCCCAGCGCCAACATCTTCTGGGACTGAAGCACTGGCAACCCCCCCCCAAACCAAACCAACCAGCAGAAGCCGGGCAAGCTGGGAACTGGGCAGGGCTGGGCAGCCTGGCCTGCACATGCACCACACCCGCAGCATGCTGCAACATACACATCATACAGCGCGGCCCCACGCAGACGTCAAACACGCACGCACGTCACATACACGCGTCACACCGATCACACGTTTGCACATGCACTCAGCACACACGCCGGGCGCCCACCAGCTCCCCCCCCACCCCTCAGTGACCCACTGTACCCCCACCCACGGCCCCGTGCTCCCCCTGGACCCCCGCAGAGGCCGCCAACACTCAGAGGAGGACCCAGACCCCTTACACCTTGCCGGAACTGAAACATCTAGAAGAGGCTGGAGGGCGGGGTGCGGGGGCTGCTGCTGGGGCTTCCTGGCCCTGAGGGAATGTTGTGGAATGGGGGTGAGGCCAGCGGGGCAGCTTCCGGGGGGTGGGGCCAGTGCCAGGGCATGGGGGCATCAGTGTAGGGGCGGGGCCTTGTCTGGGGGCGGGGCCAGCGACGGGGCGGGGCCTGTGTCTGGGTGCCAGGGCGTCTCACCTTGTTCTGCTCGTCCTTGTAGAGGATCTTGAGCGTGTCCATGGCACGGATCATGGCCTGCATGGCCGTGAAGATGTTCTGGTAGACCAGCTTGGTGAAGCCGCGCTTGTCTTCTTCCGAGTAGCCGGCACCGTGGATGATGCGCATCTGCTTGATGAAGGTGCTCTTCCCGCTCTCGCCCGTGCCTGCGGGAGGCTGGGGGTCAGGGCCGGGCCCCTGCCCTGGCACAAAGGCCCCCTGACCCCATGTGGCTCTCTCCCTGGTGTGACACAATGCGCCCGTGCCCTGTTCCCACTCCCCGCCCGCTTCCTCCGAGACCACCCCCCCCCCGGGGGCTGGGAACCAAGGCAAGGGTCGCATAGCCGGAACCCACACCCAGCCCCACCAACGCCAAGAGGCCTCCCTCCTGGAGCCGAGCACAGCTGCGGCTCCACTTTGCTCCAGAACCCCCTTCCCCAGGCGTGCACCCCCAGTCCCTCCGGAGCTGCCTCCCCACAGCGAGGGGCCGCAGTTCCACCCGCAGCCACAGGAGGGCGCCCGCGCCCTGCACCCCACCCCTCCCCAGGAGACCCTGGACACCGACCCCAGACACGCCTGCAGGAGAAATGGTGGCAGGGCAGGGATGGCACCCCACGTTGTTGCAGCGCCAGCGAGGGCTCTAGGCAGTGCCTGGCACTCCTGAGAGTGGCCCCTGGGTCCCCAGGCCAGCCCCCGGTAGAGCCCCACGTGCATGGGGCCACTCAGAACCTCTGGGCCCCTCTGCCCAGCCCCGACAATGCCAGAGGCCAGGGGCGCCCCACCCCACGGCTGCACCCCAGGAAGCCCCTCCACGCACCGGGTCCTTGGGGTCTCTGCATGCGGATGCCCCATGCGTCAGCCCCGGTGGACTCACCCCAACCCAATGCACTCAGCTCCGTCACACATGCGGGACTGCAACACCCCTCCCTGGTGGTACTGAGGGGGCGTGCACCCCGGAGGGTCCACCTCACTGCATGACAGGGTGGGGGCAACTCTTGGGGGGGACATTGCATCCGCAGACCCCCTCTGGATACCAGGAGTCTGGCCTCTAGCGGTGACGGCCAGAGCGGGAGTGGGGTGGGGGCAAAGCTCAGGCGGGAGCGGGATGGGTGATGTCAAGTGGGGCGGGGTCCTTCACGCCCCCTAGTCCTAACGCGGGGGCGCTGGGCACACGCCTCGCAGAAGGCGCACGCGGGACGCTGACACGCACCCCACACGCGCAAGCCTAGTACCGCCGCAGACACGTGCACACGCGGATACACGGAACACAGGGCAGCGGCCATGCACCGCCGTGAGCACGCAGGGTGGGTGCGCAGAGGCACCCTGAGCCCCATCTGGGTCAAAGCGGGACGTGCATGCGCCCGGGACAGAGGGGGACAGAGTGGTCGTGCATGTGCGCTCGCCCGAGATGGAGGTGGCCAGACAGGGTCCGGCGCGTGCCGGGCCAGAGGGGGGAATGGCATACATGCCCAGTAGGCAGCGGGCAAGAAACGCCGCCAGGTGGGGCTGAGCAGGACAAGGGGCTTCCTCGCCCGGGGGCATTCAGAGATTCTCAAAGCTCCACCCCAGGGACTGGTGCGATACACAGCAAGGGAGGGCGTTTGCCTTGGCACGCAGCCAACCTGGGTTCCATCCCCAGCGTCCCATATGGTCCCCCCAGCACCGCCAGGAGTGATTCCTGAGCGCAGAGCCAGGAGTAACCCCTGAGCATGTGACCCAAAAAGAAAAAAAAAGCTTCACCCCGAATTGTGAGTGGAGGTCGGCCCAGGGCCACTTCTCACCCCAGCTGCGCCAGGAGTGGGGGACCCTCGGGAGCACGAGCAGCTGGGCTCTCGTGGGGAGCTGCGACCCACGGCCGCAGCAGGGACACTGGGTGGGCGCAGCATCACCAAGTCTAGGTGAGGCGGCTGGGGCTGGCATAGGGTGGGCCAGAACTCCCCGACACTGACTTCACACCAGGGCAATGTGGGGAAGCTCATCCTGGGGACCCCCCCCACAGGATGGAGTGGTGGTGGCTGGCAGGATGGGGGCATTTCCATGGGGTTTTGGAAAACCCTCGCTGGCGGTGTGAGGGGCCTAATGACGATGGGCCCAGTGGCGGTGAAGTTTATGCGTTTGGGGAAGGAGGTTTAAAAAGAAAAAAAAAAAGGAATAGGGCTGGAGTGATAGCTCAGTGGGTAGGGCGTTTGCCTTGAAGTGACCGACCTGGGTTCGAGTCCCAGCATCCCATAGGGTAAGGTCACCCGAGCACCGCCAGGAGTAATTCCTGAATGCATGAGCCAGGAGTAACCCCTGTGCATCGCCGGGTGTGATCCAAAAAAGAAAAAGAAAAAAAAAACGAAGCAACAGGACAGCAGAGAGGGCACTCAGCTTGCAAGGGGGTGACCCGAGTTCAAGTTCTGGCACCCCAGAAAGGGTCAGAAGTCTGAGTCCTGCACGTGGAGAACCCAGCTCACTGCCCAGCACCCCCACGTGCTGGGGGGCTCCAGCATCCACAGGAGCGCCACCACCACTTAGGGCAGAGCGCCCTGAAGGAAAACGCGCCCCCCGGGCTCCTGGTACTGAGGAGGCCAAAGGGCAGCAGCGGCTCCGCGTGAACCAAGGACCAGCCGGGCAGGGACAGCACAAGAGCTCAAAACACTCCTGCTGGCCCTGCCCAGGGGCCTGGGTCCCCATCCCTGGGCACCACGTGGCTCCCCTGTGGGGGTTTTTTAATTTGTTTTAGCTTTGGGGGCCACAGCAGGCAGTGCTCGGGGGCTCTTTGGGATGCTGGGGGCTGACCAAGAGTTGGCCGTGGGGAAAGTAATGGCCCTCCCTGCTGTCCGAACACTACGGCCCCCTATAGGTTTGGGGGTGTCACAGCATTAGGAAGCGGCTACCACACCTGCACCAGGGGCCCGCCACAAGCGCCGCAAGGGGGCGCTGCAGAGCACACCCAGTAAACGCGGGGCCAGGGACAGGCATGTGCGCATGTGCACACACGCACCCTCACGCACGCAGGCACACGCGCGTGCACCCATAGGCACCCGCATGCTCACACGAACCCATGCACGCACACACACGCTCACACGCACCCGCACGCACACACGTGCACCACAAGCACTTGTGCCCACTCACAACAGCACCTATTCACACACCCGCACTCACACACAAACCCCCACACGCATAGTCGCACCCATACGTACCTGTAGGCACACACGCACCCCCCCACCGTGCCCACTCACGCAAACACCCGCACGCACAGTCGCACCCAGGCACGTACCCACACGTGCACGCGCCCAACTCCGGAGCCGCAGGGACGGGCACAAGGCGTGGGCGCTGGGCAGCTGCGGGGACCCGGGACAGCTCGCAGCTGGCGGGACTTCGACCCCGGGCAGCCGGGCCCAGTGGCCCGCGGGCTCCCGGCCACGCCCAGCAGCCCCGGAGCAACCGGGTGTGTTTGCCACGCGAGGCCAGGCGCCACCGGTCGCCAGGGCCGGTCCCGCGCCCACGGTGCAGCCGGGGGAACCTCAGCGCCCGCCCCTACCCTGGGCCCGACCCTCTGCCCCTCTCCAGGGAGCCCCCCACCTCTCCCCGCAGTCCCCAGGGCCCCAAGCCACCCTGACCGGGCCTCAGACCAGCTGGACCCCAGGCCCCGCGCGGACCTTCCCCTAGGAGGGTGTGGGGGGCGCCCGCCCAGAGCCCGGTGGTCACGTCCCTGGATGAGGCATCAGCGACCTCCAGACTGGGGCCAAGAACCCCGGACTTGGCCACGGCGCTGCGTGGGGGGCGCCTAGCAGGTACCCCCAGGGTAGGTGGGCACTCCGCGCCACACCTCAGGCTTGCCCCCCAAAATGTGGACACCCCCCCAATGCCCCGAACCGCTTGCTGCAGGCGACATGGGTCTGGTCTGAGACTGAGGGGCTTTAGAAAGGGGAGCGGGGCCGGCGACCCTCGGGTGTACCTGGGGCCCTTGGTCGGGGCCCGCAGGGCTTCAAGGGGCCCAGAAGCCCCTGAAGGTCCCGCACTGGGCTTGGAGCTCCCATGAGGGGGTGGTCCATGCCCCGCCCACCCCGCTCAGCAGCTGGGGGCCCCCGCAGCTGGGGGAAGGGGCCCTGGGGCCACACACGAGGAAAGGGCACCGGGCCGGGCTCTCCTGAACCTTCTCGGCAAGCCCCAGACACCAGGAGAAGAGCACCTGGGGGGCCCCCGCGCCCGCAGTGGAGGAGGGGGCAAGCCCGGAGGCTGGGTACCTGGCCAGGCCCCCTCAGGGAGGCAGGGAAACTGAGGGTCGTGAGGCCTGACCCCGAGCCCACACTGGGGGTCTGGAGGCACGGCCGGAAGCAGCCCCCCGGAGAACCGGAGCAGAGACGGGGGACCCGGGTCACTGGAGTGTGGGGGGGCCCTCGCAGAGAACCTGGGCCAGGCCCGCGGGCATTCCCGGGTGGCGCTGCCCCGCGCCCCTGAGCCTGGGGCGCCGCCTGGCTGCCCTCCCTTCCCGTGGCCACCACACCCCGCTGCCCGATTCCCGGCCGTTCCGCTGCCCTTGGGCGGACAGGAAGCCCAGGGCCAGTGCCCGGCGCTCGGCTTTATTTAGCAGCTCTGGGTGGGCCCGGGTCCCGGGAGGCTGCACAGGGGGGTCTCCGGACCCCCGCCCCTCCCGACACAGCCCCTGACCGCGGGCTTCCTAGTCCCACCCCAGGGGCGGAGGGGGAACCCGTGGGGGGGTCACTGCGGGGTCTGGCCCGGAAGCAGTGCCCCCCATGCCAGGGGCGCCCTGAGCTAGAAGGAGCCCCTCCAGAAAGAAACAAATGCCCCGAGAGGGCAGAGCCGGGGCAGGGCTCAGGGGCCTCCCTGGCCCGGGACACACCCGGTCCCATCCCCAAGGTCCTGGGGGAGGGACGCCAGCACTGAGGCCCCCTAACTAAACGGGGACCACCGAGGAGAAAGCAGGGGCGGGCCAGGCGGACGCTCAGGAACACCGGCTTATGCACCCCCAGGGCCCCCTTGGACTGCGGCCCCTCGGGGTGCAGAGAGGGGGGACAGACCACTGGGGTTTGTGGGGGCCCCTAGTCTCCAGTGTCCAGGGGGGCAGGGCCAGCAGCCTCTAGACAGGGTCACATTCCCCACGACGACCAACCCCCTCCCCAGTGAGGAGTCCGCCCACACCCGTACCCGGGTCAGGTGGGGTCCCACACCTGTCCTGTTAGGGCTGCCCAGATGCCCCCAGGCGGCCCCCTGCCACCTGCCACCGGACCGCTGCCCCTGGGCTCACGTCCCCCCCGCTCCTAGCGTCCATTCCCCTGTGCGTGCGTCCCCCATGGGTCGCAACTGGTTGGCCCCAGCAGGGACGCGTCCCTCCCCCCCAGGCCTGGGAACCTGGAAGTCTTGGGGGGGGGGTCATCGGGGCAAGGATGGGCAGGTGGGGGGCGGGGATCACGCAATGCTGAGGATCAGGATCAGGCGGTGCCGCCCCCAATAAGGCACAAGCCAGTAAAGACCCAGGAGTCAGGAGGCCTCAGGGACACTCCCACGGGGTGTCCAGGCCTGGGGGTGGCCCTCCTCCCCGCGGCGGGGACCCCAGAAGGTGCAGGAGGGCAGGGCCCCGTGTGTTTGGTAAACGCCAGTATTTGGGGTGCAAACACTTGGCCCACAGCTGGGCCAGCTCGCCTGGGGCAGCAGGTGGGACCTGCAGAGGGACAGGGGATGCTCCCGCCCACTGGCCTCCCTCCCCCCACGATAGTGCAGCGAGCCCGGGGGAGGGGGGGCAGCGCCACTGGTGGAAGGGCCTAGGGGCCAACCTGGCTGGACCCAGACACCTGCGCGCGCGCGGCTGACCAGACCGAACACGGCTGGACCCCCCGCTCACTGCAGAGTCCGCCCCTCACCACGCAGCCAGGCGACCTGGCAGGGGCTGAGGTCAGCTGCTGGGGCAAACTCGGGCGGGGACCCCTCCTGTCGGCCTGAGGGGGGACCAGGTCCCCCCATGAGGGCAGCGCTGCAGGCTGGGCCCCTGCCGAACCGCCCCACCCCCCCGAGTCCCCATGGGCAAGTTGCCGCCAGCGCCCCCGCGGGCGGCGCCTGGGCAGAGTCCTCGGGGTCGGTCGGGGTCCCCGCGGACACCTCGCTGCAGCCAAGGTTCCAGGGGCAGCTGGAATCAGGGGCCCCCGCGGACACCTCTCGGCCGCGCCCACCCCCACGCACGGCCCGCTGCCCCCGCGGCCCGGCCAGCCCCGCACACGCCCCGCCAGGCTCGTGGGCCCCGCACACGCCGCGCCGACCCCGCACACGCCCCGCCGGCCCCGCACACGCCCCGCCGCAGGCCCGGCCCCGCTCACCCAGCAGCAGCAGCTTGAGCTCGCGCCGGGCGTCGCGCTTGTCCCGCCGCAGCTGCTTCTCGATCTCGGCGTTGATGCGCTTGGACTCCTTCACCTCGTCGCTCAGGCAACACGCCATCATGGACTCCAGGGTCATCGTCCCGGCCCCGGCCGCCCCGGCCGCCCCCGCCGCCGCCGCCGCCGCCCCCCGGCCGGGCCCTGGCCCGGAGCCGCCCCGGCCGCGCCCGCCCGGCCCTCGGCGCTCGCGGGGCCCCGGCCCGCCCGGCTCGCCCGCGCCGCCGCCGCCGCCCGCGCCGCCGCCGCCCGCGCCGCTCGCCGCTCGCCGGCCGCCCGCGCCGCCGTGGCCACCGCCGCCGCCGCCGCCGCCGCCGCCAACTGCAGCCGCCGCGACCGAGCCAGCGACAGCGCCGCGCAACCGAACGCGAGCGGCGAGCGGTGCCGACGGGCGGGTGGCGTGGCCAATGGCGGGGGCCGCGGGCGGCGGGGGCGGGACTGCGGCGGGGAAGGGCGGGGCGACGCGCCAACGGACGGGCTGGGCGGCCAATGGCGGGGGCGGGCGCGCTGCGGGGGCGGGGCCGCGGCCCGGGGGAGGCGGGGCCGCGGCGCGGGCGGCCGCGCCCGCGGGTTTGGTTGCGCCGACGTGGGAAGAGGGACGCTACCTCCGGGAGCCGGGGCGGGGCCGCCCGGGATTGTGGGAATGTGGCGGACCCGGAGGCCCCGTGGGGCGGCGCTCCGGCCGCGCCGGGCCGCAGCGGCGGCGGAGGGTCGTGCGGGGGCCGGCCGGACGCAGCCTTCCCGGGATACCCTGGCGGCGCCTGACCGGAAGCCGGCTCTACACCCACCCTCGTTCCGCTAACTTGGGAACGGGGGAGCATGCTTGGGAGCGTGCATATTCCGCTCACATGGGAGCGTGCCTTCTGCTAACACGGAGCATGCGTGGGGACATGCATGCGACACCTCCCTTATACCGGGCCCTGGGCATCGATGAAGGGACACGGAGCGCCTGCCGCATGCACGCACTAGCCGTGAAGGCCGAGCCTCCTGCACGCCAGGTGTGCACCAGGCACGAAGGCAGCGCCTCCTGCATACCCCTCTGTGGCTCCGGCATAGGGCACCTGCGGTGTAGCCAGGCACCACCCTGCTAGACACGCGACGCCTGCTGTCGTCCCCAGCACCTGCCGTGTGCCCGGTGTGAACCCCGCATTCGTAATGCGGGGAGGGGGGGGGCGGAGCCATGGCACAGGGGGGCGGGCGCTGCCGGCCTTGCACGTGGTCCACCGGGGCTCGATCGATCCCTAGCATTCCATAGCGTCTCCCTGAGCCCTGCCAGGAGTGATCCCTGGACACCGCTGGGTGTGACCCCAAAACAAAAATATGTAGCATCGATGTATAGGCCTGGGCCCAGACATTAGTGCAGCGCTCACTGTGTATCTGGTGTGCGCTGGGCATAATGCAGCTATACAATGCGCCTACGACAGACGAGGTGTGAAATTAGTGTATGTGAACCCAGCATGGCCAGCAAATAGAGCAATGCTTGGTGTATTCCAGCGGGGCTGTCATTAATACTTAAGTGGCCTTTTTTTTTTTTTTTTGGTGGTGGTAGTGGGTACCACACAGTAGGTACCCAGCTTGGTACTGAGGGGTCACGCCTGGTGGTGTCTGGGATCGATGCTGAGCCTCCTGGACAGGGTTCAGCAAACCTTTGCGTGCTGGGCAGAGAAGGTAAGAAGATCGTTTGGCGTTCCTGGCGCTGGGACCAGGAACCTGGATCTGGATGACACCTGTCCCAGCCCTGACCGGGGGTGGGGGCCCCCGTCCCGCGCCTCCTCTCCCCACCTGGCCCCTCCCAGCGGACCCTTAACACGCTGTTCTCCGACTCCAGATAAGCCCCAAGGAAGGGTCAAAGTCTGGTTTCTGGGCTGACTGGGTGTGGGGGAAGGCAAGGCTCCTTGCTGCGAAGATCTTCTTCCCAGGCTGCCTGTTCACCTGTCCTCCCCCTCCACTCGGCCCAGCTGGGGCGTGGGGGTGCTCCCGATCTGCCCCCACGGAGAGCTGGAAGCGCTCCCCGGAGAATGGCCAGCCGGGAAAAGTGACCCAGCGAAGGCCAGGCTGCTGCCCACGGCGCAACCGCCCTCCCCTGAACCGGGCTGGCCTCTCCGCCTGTCCCCAGAGCTCTCCCCATGGCCTGAAATCCTTGTGGGTCTGTCTCTGCGACACCAACCGGGCTCAGGCGCGACTGCTGGTGGGGTGCCTGGGGGACCATGCGGAGCGGGGTTCGAACCTGGGGCTCCCACATGCGCTGCCCACACGCCAGCCCGGCCCGGGGCCCTCTCTGCCTCCCTCCCCTCTCCTTGGCCGCAGGATGCTGTGTTTCAGTCTGTCAGTGCCTGCCCCTCCCCCACCCCCGCCAGGTACACAGTCGGCGCTCAATAAAGGCTGGTGGCTGCAGAGTCCCTAGGGCGCACGTTGTCACTGCTGCATTATCACCCGCCGGGGGCCAGGGGCCTGTGGATCTGTCCAGGGGGCCCTGGGATACTCCGAGGCCAGCACAGATCCCGGGGCCTTCCCTCAGCGCCCAGGCGGCCAGGTGCCCCTTGCTGCCAAGCACGGCCTGCATGCGTGCGCGCGTGCGTAAATGCGTGGGGCGTGAACGTGGCCGCGTGTACGTGTGCGGGGCGTGGACAGCATGCTGTGTACGTGTGTGAGGCGTGGACAGCGGACGGGTGCGTGCAGGGGGCATGGATAGACGTGCATGCGTGTATACGGGGGTGCACGTGTATATACAGGTGTGCACGCGTGTATATGGGCATGCATGCGGGTGTGCACGCGTGTATACGGGGCGTGCACGCGTGTATACGGGGTGTGCACGCGGGTATACGGGGCGTGCACGCGTGAATATGGCGGGCACGGTGGCGGCTGTGTGAGTGCGTGTCTCCGCGGGGCGGGGCGCAGGCACTGGACCCTCTTGGTTCTTTGCCCAGGCTCTTTGCAGCCCCTGGGAACCGGGGCTGGTCTCCGGGAACTCGGGCGACTCGAAGGAAGGATTCCGGGGACTCGGCACGCAGGGTCGGGGCATCCAGGCACCACGCGGTCCCCACACCGCAAGGACTGAGCCCCTGAGCACCCAGCCAGGCAGAGCCAGGATCACTAGGTGTAACCCTCCCAGGGACAGACAAATGGGCAGGCAAGCTGACAGGCAAAGAGACAGGTAGACAAGCAGACAGACAGTCAGACAGACAGCCTGATACTGTACAGTGGGTCACGTCCAAGATCATGAGATCCCAGAAGGATCTGGGTCCCCTGAGGGCACACTCACGTGTCTGAGCCCTGTTTTTTTCTGTCTGTCTGTCTGTCTCTGTCTCTCCTGATTCACTCTGTGTCTCTCACTGTCTGTGTCAGTCTCCATCTCTGTCTCTGTCTCTGTCTCTGACTGTCTCTGTCTCTCTCTTTCTGACCTCTGATTCACTTTGGTTCTCATTGTCTGTCACAGTCTCTATGTCTGTCTGTCTGTCTGTATCTCTCTGACTCACCGTGGCTCAGTCTGTCTCTCGGCTGGCCTTGGTCTTGCTCATTCATGGACCAGAGTCGCCGGGTCACCTGCCGTGGCCCAGTGGCTGGGGCCCTGACAGTGTATCCTAGTTGACTGAGTGTTGTAGGGGGCAGCTCTGGGGGACCCCCAAAATGTACTCCTTCCTTCTCTCCAGGCCTCCAGACCCAACTTCTTCCCTTGGCACCACCATCCTCTGCTCCACCTCCAGGGGGTCCCATGCCAGGGAGGAAGTGACCCCTGGACTCCCTAATCTCCAATTGGGGCACACCCCCGCCCCAAGAAAGCCCCCAAAATAGAAATAAATGGACTCCAAGAATGACTTCCTTCTTTGCTTTGTTTCCATTTCTCTGGTCACATCCTGAGCGCAGAGTTCATCCAAGGGGAAGCTTGGGGGATCTGGGGGTGCAGGGACGAAACCCAGCCCTCGGCTCTACAGCACAGGCTCCAGCCAGGCTCCAGCAACCAACAAGGGCCAAGGAGATGGCTCAAGGGTTAGCACCTGCGCCCTGGAGGCATGAGGTTCCGGGTGCCAGCCCCCCTCTCCCGAACTGGGACAGCTGCCCTGGGGCCCTGCAGCCAGTCATCAGTCTGCTGGGACCCAGCCCCCCACTCCCAAATCAATCACTAAACATGCCACATACGAAACCAGACGCAATTCCAGATGCTGTCAGCCCCCGCCTTCTTCTTGGAGAGGCCCAGCTGCCTGGAGACAGGACAGGTCTCTTGGGGACAGCCCGGTGTAGTCCCCTTGGGCCGGAGTCCAGACCTCCTGCTCCGACAGAGACCAGGGTCTCTGTGTTTGTTTGGGCTTGATTTGGTTTTGGGGTCACACCTGTTGATGCTCAGGGCTGACTCCTGGATCTGTGCTCAGGAATCACTCCTGGTGGGGCTCAGGGAACCCTATGGGATGCCGAGGATCAAACCCAGGTCAGCTAAATGCGAGGCCAGCGTCCTCTCCCCTGTGCTCTTGCTCTGGCCGCCTAGCTAGCTGTGGTTTTAGAATGAACCAGAGCCAGAGAGCACATAGGAATACACTGACACACACATACACACGGACACACACATATATACACTCCAAACACACTCAAATATACACATCACTCATACACATACACACATGCTGGTGCACATGCACACACTGATACATATACACACACACCATGCACACACACATGCACACACATACATGCATCATTCACACTTGCACACACTGATGCACATACACATGCACACTTATACACACGCACAGTTAGTCACATACATACATATACACGCACATACATATACACACAGTGAAGGTCCCACCTTCCCCCCCCGGCTCAGGATGACAAAGTGGGGGGCCGCGTGGGTGCCTCGAGATGCAGGGAGCCCCGAAAAGCCCGGGGGTAGGCTGAGGCCCAGGCACGAGGCGGTGCAGCCGGTTTCCGCCCATGGAGATGGTGATCACGGGCTGCCCCACCCAGGACCCAGAGGGACGAAGTCCAGTGGTGCTGTCGTGCCCAGTGGCTGTGGGCCCCACCCGCAGCTCCCCAACCCCCCCAGGACTCAGGCTGCGGAGTGGGGTTTATGAGGGGTGTGGGGGGACCCAGGTCCTGAGACCAAGGCCGGCTCCTGGCACCAAGTCAGGAGCAAAGGTGATGGCCCAGCT